GCATAGACGCTGGACACCAGACGATGTTTGCTAGCTTCGGATGCAAGTCCGGGCGACTTGAGAGATTGTTACGCATGTGGCCGACGATTGCGGCGACCTCTCCTTCGTTGAATATCACTGGTTCGCATGTCCATGGCGAAGCAGGTCCTGTATTATCGTTCTTCCGCTCTCCTCTCGCGGCGCTTTCTCTCCGGAGCACCGCGGCCATGTTGGATTTGGAACAGTCGTTTGCGCGTGGCATCCTCCCTAAATGGTTGGATGTTCGAGGTTCTGACGTCACCCGTGGATCGTTGCCCCTGGTTCAAGATGAGAGTGATTGCACAACGGAGTTGAAGACATGTGTCGTACAGGGTCATCGCAATCAGAGCGCTGTCATAGTGACAGTATCGGAGACGCCGGTGATCAAACAGGTGAGGGAATCGGAACTGCTTGTGGACTCAACATTGTTTTGCCCACGCGATTTTGTTCTCAGCGGGGTCGTTTGCGAGCACTGCTCTGGGGAGTGGAAGGGCCTCGACTGCAGGAGCCCTGGTCAGACTACCGCAGAGGCTGTACCCAAGAGGGGATACTGGCGGGGACACGCGCACAGCAGCCATCCCATCGAGCTGCCTGCGGCAAGCCCGGCAACCGTGGCAGCTCAGCAGGGACGAGGCTGAGTTTAAGACCCCCTCCGGCTCAGTGCCCTGTTTGAGCTGGCGCCGTTCTCGCCCCTTCCCCGTCTTGTCCGCAGCCCCGTCCTCCTCGTCCTTCATCGCTCTTCCCCCTCTCTTGCGCAGGCCGCAGGTGCACATGGGCGTGAGATGTCAGCCTTCCTCCTATCCCTCCTCCTCCCCATCCTCCATCCTTCCGTTTTTAAAGGCATGCTGGTGGTTTTTGGTGGGTTTTGGGCCCTCTTGGGGGCCTCCTGGGGGACCCGCCGTCGAGAGTCTCGGGGCCGTCTTGCCTGCGATGGCTCCACCGGGCTCTCAGGAAGAAGATCGGCTGAAATCGATTGCGGGTCTTGGCGCCGCATTGGAGCCCCCCAGTGCACATTCTTAGGGGACTCTCGGGCAGTCTTTGGGCTGTCTGGTTGCTCTCCCGGAGCAGCTCTGGGCCGTCTGGGAGGCGCATTGGGGTTCTTTGCGGCCTTCCCGATGCGATCTGAGGCCGAGAAGCTCAGGGAGCAGAAGAGACATGATTTCTTTCTGGGTTGATCATGTGTTTCGCTTCTAGAGGCCTCATTGGAGGTGGTCTTTCTGGGTGTCTCTTGGACGCTTGTTGGGGCCTCTCGGGCTATCCTGGGGGGACATCGGAGCCGGCTGGGGCTCATTGGACCGTCTTTGGGTTCACCCACGTCGTCATGCGGTCATTCTAGGGCGGTCTTTGGCGGCCTTGGAGACACATGCAGGCCGAAGATGATGCCGACGAGCAGAGCCGGAGAGGATGGTTTTTTGTTTGAGGGCGCTTGCTGCGAGAGGGGGGGGGGCTTGGAAATACTAAGAGCCCGACCATACAGCAGACTAGCATTAGTCTGAAGGGGAAATAAGCACAAGCACAAATTCAACGTCGGAAATCGTCGGGAAATACGGGAAGTGGAGGGGAAGACGGAAACCCTGAAAATATGCCGAGTGTGTGTGGGAATCCTGGAATTTGTGTTTATTGTTTCGTGTCTCCCTGGGCCCTTCTAAGACCCCTGCCACACAGCAGACCAGCATCATGACAGACGCCCCAATGTGCCGAGAGGGCAGGATGGCGGATCAAGTGCCGACGTGGAGGCACAGCGTGCCCTGGCGGAGCGGCGAAGGCTTGCTCCTCCAATTATTCGGAGGACAAAGGACGGCATAAGCACAAAAATTGTCGGAGCCTCGCGCGGGTTTCTTGGATCGGCGCTGGGCCCCCCTGGCTGCGCCTCTGGCGCCGCCCCTCCAGCGCCGCCCCTGGCGCCTTCTGCGCGCCAGGGAGGGGGGTCCAGCGCCGATCCAAGAAGTCCGCGCAGAGCTCCGAAAATTTGTGTTTCTGCTTTCTGGGTTCCTCCATCTATACTGGTGCATTCTGCGCAGAATGTGACAGTGGCTTTGGTTCGTTCTCACGCACCGGGGAGTGCACACAGTGCTCGCGCCGTGCCCTCTCACGTCTCCAGGACGCCGGCAAGTTTATATTCAGTCTTGGCTGTATCGTTCTTTTCTGTCTCGTCACGTTGCGCCGGGCATGTGGCCGTATGCGAGCGGTTCTGCATGAGCGGTGGTCTGCCCTTGTCTCAGTAGTCAAGAGGCCTGAAGTCACCTTCATGCGGCCTAAGGTGGCAGCGTTGGTGATTTACTTCCAGCTTCTGGGAGCATCGTGGAACGCAAATGGTGATGAAGATGGTGTCCGCCCGCTTGTGGAGCACATTGGCATGATCATGAATCTTGATGTGACATCTGTTCGAACTACATTGACATTGGGTTGCGTAGTCAACCACGACGCCGTGTTGGGTCTTGCGCTGCAGCCGTTGCTTCCAGTAATCTTCATACTTGCGTGGACACTCCCAAGGGTAGTTGCAAAAGGACTGCATTCTTTTCAGACGCGAAAAGCATTGGCTTATTCGTCCACCTTCGCCGTGAAATACATGCTGGTAGGCGCCTTCAAAGCGTGTGCCACTGCAAACGAGTGCTTACAGACGAGCCCAAGCTCAAGCGTGCTGTCAGTTGACACACGGCTACAGTGCGAGGAAGGTCGGGGCTTTGCCATGAGGCGTTACGCGTCTGTCATGGCTGCTTTATTGGCCACTTATTGTGTGGTCATGTCAATATGCCTCGACAAACTCATCGAAGACGCCTACGGCGAACCACTGCCGCCCCCGTGCCTTTTCTGTGAAATGCCTACGTGGCGAAGCGCTTGGTCGATTTACGTGGCCAAGCTATTGGATTTCGTGCTCCCAAACAACTCGGCATGTCAACAACCCCTCTCGCAAGCAACAGGGGGGGGGCGGATCGACGACGCCCACGGCGAATCACCGCCGCACTGCTTTTTGGAAGGGTTTATTCTGCCGAACGTTGTGGCTAGAGTTCGGCCACACAATCGGAATGTGTATTCCCCCAGCCGATGTGGGAACCTTGCGGGCAACACCTTGGGGGAGGAAGGGGAAGCGGACGAGAGGGAGAAACAAGGAGGAGGAGGAGGAGGAGGAGGAGGAGGAGGAGGCCTCTTGGGATCTGTTGGGGCACTCTTGGGGCCTTCTGGGCGCCTCCTCGGGGGCCTCTTGGAGGCCTCTTGGAGGCCTCCTTGGGCATTTTGGAGGCGAGAATTGTACAATGCCCGCTCGTCTTGGGCGTTCCTGGCCCGTCTGACGCGGTCGGAAGCCGTATTGGGGGCCTCGCTGGGCCGACATGGGCCCTTCTTGGGGCGCTTCAGGGCCGTCGTGGAGGCCATCTTGAGCGTATCGGAGGCCTCTTGGGCGCTCTTGGGGCGTCTTGCGCCATCGAAAAACCCACATTGCACAATCGCCAGAATCAGTCAAACACCCAAGTGATATCAATGATGCTGGCCTCTTCGAGCCTTCTGGAGGTCCTCTTGAAGGCCGCTTTGGCCGCCTTGGAGGGCTCTCGGGCCGTCTTGGGCGATCTTGAGGCCATCGTGGGCGCATCTCGGCCGGTGTTGGAGACATTTTAGGGGCCATCTTGGGCTCCCTTGTGGCCATCGTAGCCGTCTTGGGGACCATTTTGACCGTCTTGGATACAGTGGGGGGCCATGCCAAGAAACACCCTGCTTGCCTCCGGGGTGCCCTGGGTTTCTTGGGTTTCGATGGTTTTGCAATGGAAGGCGTGACGTTCCCACGCCAAACATCGCTGGACGCCCTGGGGTCTCAGGGTTGGGTTTCCTGTGGACGGTTTCTTGTGGACTGGCCTCCACTGTACCATTTTGGGGCGTCTTGGGGGGGACTCGCTGAGGGCCTCTGGGGAGCCTGCCTGGGGTCCTCAGACAGCGTGAGGAGAGAGGAGGGAGCGGATCTCCGACCATGTTCCCGGGTCCGTTCGCGGTCTTCCTTTGTGGCCCTCTCCAGGGCCCACGTGGGAGCCTGAGGGGGACCCTCGTGGGGAGAGGCCCAGGGACCGTCCTAAGTGCGTCCCGGGTGCCCCTGGGGCCGAATAGCGGGAGTTGCAAGAGCAAGCCAGCAGTTGGTTCCTGTTGCTTCCCATTGGTTTGGACCCCTGGGCCAGCCCTCGGGGTCTGCAGGACGGCCATGGCGATTCCCGAGTGGGGCGCGCAGGGGGCCGAGATTGTCGATGCTGCCCTCTGGGCTTCGGGGAGAGTCGCGCGAGGAGCCCCGGCAGCGAACACCAGCTGGCGAGGGCCCCAGGAGTCTAGGCCTCCTAGATGGGGTCGGAGTAGATGGGGTCGAAGGATCGAGCCTCATCGCCAATGCATCGACGATGCGGATCGATGTGGAGCCCGTGTTTCCCCACGCCGACGTCGCCGATGCATCGCCGATGTATCGCCGATGTATCGGCGATGCATTGGCGATGCGGCGCGATCCTTCGACCCCATCTACTCCGACCCCATCTAGGAGGCCTCTAAGGAGGCACCTTGAAGTCGAGAGCAATGGGCCCTCAGAACGGCTTTGACCATTTGGCATCAAGTCGGGCCTGTCCCTCTACGGGGGGGGTGTTCAAGAATAGCCAAAAAAATAGTATGGGGGCGATTTTCTTGCATTTGTGGACCACTTTTGCGCATTCGTTGACTATTCTTTCTGTCGTCCAAAATCCTTCTGTAGGAGGACACGCCCGACTTAAATTTAGCATTCGAGGCCGAAGGGCAATCAGGGGCCTGATGGGCGCTCCACCACGTACGTGCCACGGGCACGGAGGCGGATTAGACACCACGTTCGCCAAGCGGCTTGCCTATATGAGGTTGTCTTGGTGAAGCCTTGTGGGGAACCAGCAAGGGTAGAGCGTCGAATCCGCTCGGCTGCACCGGCATTCGAAGAGGCTTCGAGCACAGCTCTGAGCAGACTTCAGGGCGACCAGCACAGCCAGTCGGCAATGTCAAGCGACTCCATCAGTTATCTTGCTTCAAGCGAGATCGACCGAATCGACGAGTCCGTCCGCGTAATGCGGGTTATGGAAGATTGGGAGGCCGAGCAGATGCATGGTGAGATAATTGGCGCCAAAGGTGCATTCGTCCATTTCAATATCGACGCAGGTCTGTTTAGCATCTTCATCATGATGTTCAAGGCTGGATTCGTATATTACGCCATTAAGCGCCCGTGGATATCGGGCATGATGGCCGTCGTGCTAGCCTTGGCGTTTCTCTTCTTAGGCCCCTATGTCGACCCGCATAATAACTCGCTGAGCGCCTGCACAATGGCAACTCTCGCAATATTTGTGTTCTCGGCCGAGGCTGGCACGAACGTGCAGGCATGCATTGTTTTCATTCCCATCGTATCCGTGTGCCTGCGGCAGGCTCCGCCGCCGTGCCAGCGCAGCACTTTGCGTGGCGACCCGTCGAGGACCATCGGCCCGGAAGAGTGCAGCATCCGACAGCTGCCGCCCCCGGGACCCAGAGGGGCCATGAGAGGCAGTAGGGCACGCTCGTCTGTGGGCCTTGAAGGCCGTAACGTGTGACAACTGAAGTTCCCCAGTGGCCAGAGCCGTCACATGTGATTCCTCTCGTCTTCCAGTTCCACATGCGCCGCAAGGGATCTGACATGCGGGAGGTGGGGGAGAAGGCCGCGGAGGCAGAGAGGGCGGAAGCTGTTCCAGTGATCACTGGGGTTCTCTGTGGGCGTGCTGGGGCCCTCTGGGGCCGTTTTGAGTTCACACTGGAGCCTTCTGGGGGAGGGGGGCGTCCCAGGTGCCTTTTGGGAGCCATCTTGGCCAAAGAGGGGCGTTTTCTCGGCGCCCTCCAGCGTTGGCGGGCCCTCCAGCGTTCCCTGGGTCCCTACTCGAGACGCAGGACCTCATGAGTGTCCTTTTTGTTCTCCCCTCCGTGGAAAGGCGCTATGCCGCTCTGGGCCTGCAGCGTGGCCTTCTGGGGAACAGGGCCTTGGCCTGAGAACGTCGGGAATCGAGAAACACTCGAACTGTTGGACGCGGAGGTCCCCATGGATGCATCCACGTTCTAGCGCGTTCTCGTATCGGCGTATGCGTACAAGTGGGTCAGATTGTGAGCAAGTGTGGATACGAGCGGTGGGGTCTGGGTGGGTCTGTGCACGGGCGCCCGGATGAAAATGCGTGCGGGTGCGAGTGGACTTGAACATGCGGGGGTGAATCAGAGCGGTTGCGGGCACGGTTGGGCTTGGTCATGGTTCGGCTGGGCTGCGAGGAAGTCTGGACAGCCACAGGAGATCTTGCGATTTGGGTGTCCGTGGGGCCCCCGCAAGCTGGACGCGAACGGGCCCGTGCAACTCTGTGGCGGCTCCCCCGTGGGAGGTCTACCCGTGATGCGTCTTACATCGCAGTTGTCAGTGGGCTCTAGTCCAACCAGCCCATGGGAAGCCCACGTGGGATGATTGGCACATCGCTGCGGCCATGTATTTCTGACGCGAGACGTTCCGAACCCCCAAAAAATGCAATTCTATTTGAGAGCCCACATCGATCTGGACGTGAACGGGCACGTGCAAAACCTTCTGGCGGCCTCCCTCGGTGGGTCCAAATCCGATGCTTGCTACCTCGCTGCAGCCGTGGGGCTCTGAAGAGAAACACATATGCATCCGGAAGTTGCAGTGTTACATGGGAGGCCTACAAATTCGGACGCGAGCGGGCCCGTGCACCACGTCGCGGCGGCCCCTCCCATTGAGAGGCGCAAGCGCGATGTTTGCCGCATCGCGTCGGCAATGGGGTTCTGAACGGAGACGCATCTACATCCGAACATTGCAGTGGCACTTGGGAAACCCAACGAATCTGGACGCGAACGTGCCCGTGCCCACGACTGATCCCCTGGCGGAAGCTCAAGCGCGATGGCTGTTACATCGCGGTGGCCATGAAGGCTCTGAATGGAGAAGCGTCTTCTTCCAAACTTTGCAGTGCCACTTGGGAAGCCCCCCCAATCTGGAAGCGAATTGGCACGTGCAATACCCCAGGGAGGCTCAAGTGCGATGCTTGCTACATCGCAGTGGCCGTGGGGATCTGAATAAAGAAACTCGCCGATTTCCGAACACGAAAACAATAGCTGGTAGCGCACACCAATCTGGACGCGAACGGGCCCGTGCAATACCCGATGGCGTCCCCCGGCTGCAAGGCCCAAGCGTGATGCTTGCTGCATCGCGGCGATCAGTGGGCTCTGAACGGGCTCGTACAATATCCCATGGCGGCTCCCTGTTTGGATGCCCAAGTGCGGTGCGTGCTACGTCGCGGTGGCCATGGGGCTCGGATCGGAGACGCGTCCACGTCCGAAAATTATCTTTTTGTGCGGGGGGCCCCACCAATCTGGGCGTGAACGCGCACGAGCAATACCCCGTGACTGTTCTCGGGTTGGCCCAAAAGGAGGTCCAGCGACAAAGGGGGGGTGCAACAGATTTGGTGTAATAGATTTGTGGGGTTGCGGCGTACAGTACATTCCAGTGCGCAAATGTGTTGCCGGATTTCGCGTGCAAGACATTATTTGCAATACAATGCAATACAATTCTCCAGCGCAAAACATTTGCAATACAATTGCCCCAAATGTATTGCACCACCCCCTTTCAGCTGGACCCCCTTCTGGGTCACCCAAATGTTCCCCCTTCGGAGGCCCGAGCGTTTTGCTTGCTACATCGCGGTCAGCATGAGGCTCTGAATGGAAACGCGTGTACTTCCAATTTTTGCAGTGTCACTTGGGAGGCCCCACCGATCTGGACACGAACGGGCACGTGAAATACCCGCTGGCGGTTCCCCAATTGGGAGGCCCAAGTGCAATGTGTGCTGCGTCGCGGCGACCACATGGCTCTTAGCGGAGACGCGTCGACCTCCGAAAAGTGCAATTTTGCGTGTGAGCCCCCACCAGTCTGGAAGCGAACGGGCCGTCGCAACACCCAAGTAAAGGTTTTCCAGTGTGAGACCAATGTTCGATGTTTGTGCCATCGCGGTGGTCATCGGGCTCTGATCGGAGACGCGTCTACCTCGGAAGATTTGCTATGTTGTTAGATCTGCCCCACCAATCCGGACGCGAACGGGCCCGTGCAATACCCATATGGCGAATCCCGTGTGGGAGGCGCAATGCTTGCTACACTGCGGTGGCAACGTGGCTCTGAAATGAGACGCACCAACTTCTGAAGAGTGCCATTTTACTTGAGAGGCTTCCCCAATGTGGACGCCAACTTGCACATGCGACACCCCATGCGTGCTGCATCGCGGTGTCCGTGGGAGGGCCGCGCCTGCCTGCGAAAAGTGTTACTCTTGTTCGAGAGGCCACACGAACCTGGAAGAGACCGGGCCTGGTATCTCACGGCAAATCCTCATTGGGATGCCCGACCGCCTCCGAAGATTGCATGCTTATCCGAGCGGTCCCTAAAATTGGGCCCCGAATGGGCCCATGCAATGCCCAAGAGCGGCTCCCACCTGGGAATGCCCGAGTGTGGTGTTTGCTACATCACGGTGGTCATGGGGCTCTGAGCGGAGACGTTACTACCTCCGAAAAGTACCCTTTTTCTTGAGAGGCCCCACAAATCTGGACGCGAATTGGCTCGCGCAATACACCATGGCGGCGATCTATTGAAATGCCTAAGTGAGCATGGTGATCTGAAGGGAGACACGTCTACCTCCGAAAAGTGCCCTTATACACGGGAGGCCCCACCCTTCTCAACACCAACGTGCCCGTGCAACATCCTATGGTGGCTCCCCGGTAGGGGACCCAGTGCCATGCGTGCTACATCGCGGTGATCATGGGGCTCTGAACGGAGGCGCGTCGACATCCGAAATTCGCAATTTAATTTGAGAGGCCCCACCAATCTGGACACGACCGGGCCCGCACAATACCCCATGGTGGTTCCCCATTGGAAGGCCCAAGCGTGATGGATATCACATCGCGGTGACCATGATGATCTGAAGGGAGACTCGTCTACCTCCGAAAAGTGCCCTTTTACCAGGGAGCTCCACCTATCTCAAGGCGAACTGGCCCGTGCAACACCCCACGGGGCCTCTCCGTTGGGGGACCCAAGTACCATGCGTGCTACATTACGGTGATCATGGGGCGCTGAACGGAACTGCGCCTACCTCCGGAAACGGCAGTTTCACAGGTGAGGCCCCACCAAGCTTGTCAAAAATGGGCCTGTGCACTATCTCATGGCCGCTCCCCCTTGGGAGATCCAAGCGCGATGATTGCTACATCGCGGTGGGGCTCTGGAAAGCAGGACATGTCTATTTCCGAAAGCGGCAATTTTACATGGGAGGCCCCACCTATCTGAACGCGAGCGGGGGGGCATATGCAATACATTAGATGGGTTGACCCTGGGAAGGCGACAAATGATGTTTGCTGCATCACGGGGGCCATGGGATGAAAAGATAGGCACACCTTCACGCGAACGGCTGCTCTAAGTTACCTGAGCGTCAATACGCCTGAACATGAATGAGTGTGAGCACGATTGAGTCTGAATGTGAGTGGGTCTGACTTGAATTGAGTATGAGTGAGCCTGGGTATGAGTGAGCCTGAGTATTCTTTGATACGAGTGTAAGTGAGTGTGAGCGTGAGTGAGTCTGAACATGAGTAAGACTGAGTATGAGTGGTATGGGTAGGAGTGGACTTGCGCGCATGTCTGGGCGGGACTGAACCTGATCATGAGAAGGTATGAGCACGGTTTGATGTAAGTACGAGTTGGCTTGAGGGTGAGTGAATATGAGCATGAGGGAGTCTGAGTGCGAGCGGGTTTGAGCATGAGTGGTCTCATCACGAGTGAGCCTGGTAGGAGTGGTAGTACTTGAGTGACTGAGCAAGGTGGAGAGGGGGGAGAAAGGGACGAGAGAAAGGAGGAGGTGGAGGCGTGACATTGACATCAAGAACCGCAACACCAAGAACCGCATCCATATGGTGCATGGAAGCGCGCATGTTCCAGTGGCGTTGGTTGTCCCGGGCCTCCGTTGGGAGCTCTTGGGGGTGCTCTCTTGGGGCCTGTGTGGTCAGCCTTGAGGCCTCTTGGGCACACGGGCGACCCTCCCGGGCCCGCATGGGAAGCCCGATGACCGGACACCTCTTTGCAGGCTGGGCCGACCGTCTTCGTCTGCGAGGGCGTGGTCCGCCCACGGAGCGTCGGGAAGCGGGGGTCTTGCGCCTGGACGCGAGCCATGGCTCAGAGAGGGCATGGGGAATCGGGTCGGGCGGCAGTTGCCACAGCACCAGATCACTGCGTGCCGAGGATGTGGTGGCGGATACTTCGTTCACACGGGATCCTTCATCCGCTACGGGGGATCCAGGTATTTGAACGCCGTGCGCCATGCGGCGGACAAGCATCGAGATCGCGGAATAGATGCAGTTCATGGCCAAGATGTTGGGACAGAGCTGGCGGCGTTCAGTGTGTTGAGCAGTCGGCGCAGACAGAGTTGTAGCAGTAAAGATTCGGACAGAATGAACATTCTCACATCGACAAATTCCAACTGAAAAGCCGTCAGTGACATCAATGTCACCCTCGTCTCCACCAATGTCATCGTCGTCGCGATGTTCAGAACCATCGTGTTTAGCATTCCAACATGCTTTGCAAGGCAGATAATTCTAAGGAGCCCACAGGGTGTCAAGCATTCGACCTCGGGAGACGCCATTGCCGATCAGCGCCACGAATCTAAATGCACCGCGCATGTGTTGTAGTTGCGCAATGCCGCCGTCTGGCCTGCCTTGGTCGTCTCAAGAAGAGGTGCGATGCCCTCCACCGTTGTGAATCTCAGCGGCGGGAGGTCCGAAGTTGCTTTTGGAGCGAGCGAATAGAGAGTCAGCAAGCGATTCTGAAGTTTCTCGGGCGAAGAACCCAGCCATATGCAGTTGTGGGTAACGCACGTGTGAGTATCGCGTTCGGTGGAGCTCCCCATGCGGCCACGAAACTCGTTAGGGGCGTGCCCCAGAGGCCCAGCAGAGCCCACGGCTCATCCTCCTGTTCCTCCTTGTCCTTCTCCCCCTCGCCGTCGTCGTCCGCCCGCGTTCCTGCACGCCTCCTTCATCCTCATCCAGACGCCAGCGCGAGAGCCGCATTTTGAGACGACCCGCCCTCCATCCGTGTAGGTATGGAACGTGCTTAAGACGAGCGCGCGCGGCGCTGCCCGCCCTTCTGTTGGAAATTTCAGCCTCCGGAATCTTGAACGGTGAGGAAGTATGAGGCGAAACGCCCAGCCCGTCCTGACGACGCGTCTGGTGGTGCGACCCAGGGGAGGCATCATATAAGGAAGAGGGATGGTGGAGGAGACGGAGGGGGAGGAGAGAGGAGGAGGAGGAGGAGGGGGAGGAGAGAAGAGGAGGAGGAGGAGGAGGGGGAGGAGAGAAGAGGAGGAGGGGGAGGAGGGGGGAGGAGGAGGGGAGGAGGAGGAGGAGGAGGAGGAGGAGGAGGAGGAGGAGGAAGACGAGGGGAGGGGGACGACGACCGACGACCAACGACGGCGACGGCGACGGCGGTGGCAGCGACTAGCACGACGACGACGCTGCCGCAGAACGACGACGGACCGCCCAGGCCTTCGACCCAGCCCGCTGCGACCCCAAGCGCGAGGACCCGCCGCCACCGTGCAGCCCCCCACCGCCCCCACGGCGGCGAGCTCTGCTGCCGCCGCGAGACCGGACCCCCGGAGGATCCCGGCGGCCTCCAGGGGCTACTTTCCAGATCTCTGGCCTCCCAGATAGGGTCCGAGTAGGTGGGGGCGGAGGATCGCACCGCATCGCCGATGCATCGACGATGCGGCTCGATGTGGAGCCCATGTTTCCCCACACTGGCGTCGCCGATGCATCGCTGATGTCGCCGATGCATCGCCAATACATCGGCGATGCGGCGCGATCCTTCGACCCCATCTACTCGGACCCTATCTAGGAGGCCTGTAAGTATTTTCGTCGATCCTGGCAGCTTCTTTTCGAGATTTCGGATCCAGGCGGTGTCCTCAGATTTCGGATCCGGGCAGCTTCCTGAGACTCCGGATCTCTGGCGGCATGATTTACAGCCATGTGGGCAGTTGTTCAATTAGTTTCGGCCCCTGGGGCCCTTCTTTGGGCCCCAGGGCCACCAAACATGGATCCGGGGGCGAGCATCCGGCCCCGGAGCGGTGTCGGGGCCTCTGCGGCCGCACACGGGAGAACGCAGATCGCCGAGCGTCTGCAGATTAAGAGCAGGAGGACGCGGAGGAGGAGGAGGAGGAGGAGGAGGAAGAGGAAGGAGGAGGGGAAGGGGGAGGAGGAGGAGCAGGAGGAAGAGAAGTGGGACGAGGAGGAGGAGGAGGAGGAGAAGGAGAAGGAGGAGGAGAAGGAGGAGAAGGGAGTGGGAGGAGGAGGAGGAAGAGAAGGAGGAGGAGGAGGAGGAGGAGGAGGAGGAGAACGAGGACGAAGGGGGAGCGAGGAGGAGGAGGAGGAGGAGGAGGCGTCCGAGAGCCTCCCCTCTCGACCCTCGAGGGCAACGCTGGGCATGCCAGCAGCAGGCCTGCGGGGCGGAGCGTTCCGCTGGCGCGTGGCGGCGGGCTGGTGTGGCCAGGCCTCGAGCGGCGCACAGGCAGCCCCCCAGGTGGTCATGGCTTGCCTCAGCGGGCCTCGCGAGCAGTCTTAAGGCGGGCATGTCCCTCTACAGGAGGAACATGCAGAAATAGTCTGGGGACAAATTTTTTAAACTGTTTTTTATGTTTGACTGTGTTTCGTTCTCCCTGTAGGAGGACGTGCCCGACCTACGATCAGTCCCAGCTGGCCTCAGCAGGCCCCCCGAGCAGTCTGGGGCTGTCTCAGCACCACAACCCTGGGGCGCTCCGCGCCCCAGGGGCGCCGCCAGAGGCGGCGGCGCCAGGGTGTTGAGGCCGCCCGTGACTACTCGGGGAGCTTGCTGAGGCCAGCTGGGACTACCTGAGGGGCCAGCTGGGGCCACACGGGGGGGGGCTGCCCGTGCGCAGCCAGAAGCCTTACCAGGAGGGAGTCGGAGGGAGGGAGGGCGCCACAGACCACTGAAGCGGCGGTTCTCCACCGTGGCCGAGGCGCAAGGCAGGGATCCACCTCTCAGGACCTGTAGGGGAAGGGGGAGGGGCTTGAATCAAAACGGCACCAGGGACCACTCCAGCATGATGACAATGCCGGCTCTGGAGGGAGAGAAGGAGGAGGAAGGGGAGGAGGAGTTGAAGCGGGCCATGGGTCCGTGGGAGCACAGCGGCAGTTTTCCATTGGCCGCAGGGGCGTTATTCACGTTGACGCTCGCGGTGTGCAGCGCCAGCTGGTTGCTACGGCCCAGTATAACCACGTTCGTACGCGCACTTGTTCCAGGGATTACGCATCCACGGATAACGGCGTCGGTTCTCTGGGGGGTGTCTTCAAACAATTGCGTTACACCGTGCTGCGGCGGACTTCTGCCCCCCTTGAAACAACGCTTGCGTCGTGCCAGGAGGGGGGTATGCGTGGTCTTTCCCAGGCGAACGTAGCCTCAGTTGCACAGTTCTGAGTTGATGAGAAGCCGCACGACTGTGCTGCAAGTATACTCATCCGTACTGACAGAAGATGGGCGCGACCCTCGTTGCCCGTCTCACGACTCTACTGCTGAGCACGAGTGCTCCGTTGCACCTGCGGTCATGGTCTTGTGCATGCGCGTTGGGCTCTGCAGCAGAGTTGCATGCCCCGCGTGCGCTGTGCGTTGTGCTGTCTCACGCACTTCCGTAGACGCGCCCACGGCGATGTTGGTAACGGCGATGTAGGTTTCGGCATTGTAGGTGGGAGTGCTTCGTGGCCAAACCAAGTGTAGGACATCGTGGTTCGTGCTTTCCTACATTTCGTTCGAAACAAACGCATATTGGAAATGTAAGAAAGTGTGATTCGTGATTTCCTACAATGTGTTCTGCGCGAGCTCGGCGTCACAAGAGTCGGATTCCCAACATCGCCGTCAACCAACATCGCCGTTAGCGCGGCCTTGGCATTTGCGGGCCGCAGGTCTTCTACGTACGCAGTTTCTGTTGATTTGGATATGTTGACTTCACGTTCTGGCGCGTTGTCAGAATATGCAACCACACCCAGAGGAGAAATGGGTTCCAATGATTCGCGCCAACCCGAAGCACTTCAGGGCTGCATCGAGGGATGCCCCGCAAGAGCGCGGGATTACTGAGTTGAGGATTTCGGCCACAACCTGGCGAACGGCCGAGGTGGATGGCACATGTTCGTGTCATCCGCGTTCTTACACATGCAACACGAGGCAGAGGTTAGCCACCCATGGTTTCTCAGTGCATGATGTGCCGCGCCGCACTCGCGATTTCATCGATACTGCACATTGCCCGGCGTGCTTGTAGTTGTTCACAGTCACGTACGCGTGGTGTCCTATTTTAAGAGAAATCTTGAAAATTGCCGTTTCGTAATCATAGCTACACGCAAAGGGTTGCCGAATAATGTCGCTGCCGAACTTGACCGGAAGGATGCCAAGGATGCCCGCGAACGGGCCAGAAAGGGCCAGAGGCCGCACCACGCTGACGCTCCGGCTGGCCGCCTGGAAGGCCCACTGACTTTGGAAGCGTTTGTGGCTGCGTTGAGACATAAGTGGTCTCCCTCCTGCTTTCCGCTCCTTGACGAGCCAGGGGGCGCCCACGCAGCAACGACGCCCACTTCAGGAGGGTCGATGCACGAACTGTCTGCTTCCTTGGCGCATGTCTCCTCGCACGCGCACGTCCCAAGCTGTTTATAAACGAGACAAAACGAGGAGGATGAGGAGGAGGAAGGAGAAGAAGAAGAAGAGACGATGAAGAGGATGAGGAGGAGGAGAAGGAGAAGGTCTTCCTCCTCCTCCTCCTCCTCCTCCTCGTCCTCCTCCTCCTCCTCCTCCTCCTCCTCCTCCTCCTCCTCCTCCTCCTCCTTTCATCCTTGTCATCCCAGGTCGTGCGGAGGCTGGTCAGTCTTGAGAGTGGCCCGCACGCGGGCGAGGACAGGAAACAGGTTGAGCAGGCAAGGGCCTTCGGAGGGGCTCGGGGTGATTCCTCTCCACCCCTGCGTCGGCTGGAGTGGCTTGGGAGGCAAGAGTGGGCATTTGACCCAAGGGGGGGTGCGCCGCGAGCTTCGGGGCGGACCGCCTGGGCCCTGCGGGCACACCGCGCGGCCGAGCTGCGCGCCTGCGGTGCGTTCCGTGCGCCGTGTCAATGGCCTCTCCTTGTGGCCTTGGTGGGCCCCCCGCCTTGCCCTGAGGGGGTGCCTCCTCCAAAACCCCCCCTCGCGGCGCGGAAGCATCCCTACAGAAAGTTGTCATCCATGTTCGGGCTTCCCTGGGCCCTTAGCGGGCCTCGAGGCCGCCAAAAACGGTTCCGGATGCACAGCCAGAAAAGGAGGAGGAGGAGGAGGAGGAGGAAGAGGAGGAGGAGGAGGAGAGGAAGGAGGAGGAGGAGGAGCAAGAGGAAGACGGAGGAGGACGGGAGAGGAGGAGGAGGAGGAGGAGGAGGAGGGGAAGGAGGAGGAGGAGGAGAGGGAGGAAGGAAGGAAGGAAGGAAGGAAGGAAGGAGGAGGAAAACGAAGGAAGGGAGAGGCGGAGGAGGAGGAGGGAGGAGGAGGAGGGGAGAGAGGAGGAAGGACGGGAAGAGGAGGAGGAGGAAGGAGGAAGGGAGAGGAAGGAAGGAAGGAAACAAGGAGGAGGAAGGAAAGAAGGAAGGAAGGCAGGAGGAGGGAAGGAAGAAGGAAGGAGGGAGAGGAGGAGGAAGGGAGGCAGGAGGAGGAGGAGGAGGAAGGCGGAGGAAGGAGGAGGAGGACGGAAGGAAGGAAGGAAGGAAGGAAGAAGAGGAAGGAGGAGGAAGGAGGAGGAGGAGGAGGAGGGAGGAGGAGGAGGGGCGCAGGAGGGGCGGAGGAGGAGGAGGAGGAGAAGGAGGAGGAGGAGGAGGGGGAGGAGAAGGAGAGAAAAGAAGGGGAGGAGGAGGAGGAGGAGGAGGAGGAGGAGGAGGGGAGGAGAGGGAGGAGGGGGAGGAGGAGGAGAAGGAGGAGGGAAGAATAGGGGACGGAGGAGGATGAGGAGGAAGGAGGGGAGGAGGAGGAGGAGGAGGAGGAAGGAGAAGGAGGATAGGAGAACATGGGAAGGAAGGAAGGAACAGAAAGATGGATGAGGAGGAGGAGAGGAGGAGGAGAGGAGGGGAGGAGGAGGGAGAAAAAAGGAGAAGGGGAGGAGGAGGAGGAGGAGGAGGAGGAGGAGGCGGAGGAGGAGGGTAGGAGGAGGAGGTGGAGGGAGGATGGAGGAGGAGGAGGAGGAGAGGGAGGAGGAGGAGGAGGAGGAAGAGGAGGAGCAGGAAAGGGAGGAGGAGGAAAGGGGATGAGGATGGAGTGAGGAGGAGGAGGAGGAGAAGCAGGAAAGGGAGGAGGAGGAGGCCCTAGGACGAGTCCAGGGGCCGACTTTTCGAGGCGGGGGAGAAGGAGGACGAGGACGAGGATGATGGGAAGATGGGAAGCAAGGGGGAGGAGTGAGGAGGAGGAGGAGGAGGAGGAGGAGGAGGAGGGAGGAGGAGAAGGAGGAGGAAGAGGAGGAGGAGGAGGAGGAGGCGGAGGAGGAGGACAAGAGTAAACCCAAGATGTATCGAACGATGCTGCAATACACCCTCCCGTCCCAAGCCCCCTCCTCATAAACTCATTCACGACTTCCTTTCCACTGCGGGCGCCCCCCTTGAATGACGAGCGGCGGGAGGAGGGAAAACACAAGAACGAGGAGGAAGAAGCAGGATGGTTTGGAGGAGGAGGAGGAGGAGGAGGAGGAGGAGGAGGAGAGGGAGGAGGAGGACAGGAGGACAGGAGGACAGGAGGAGGGAGGAGGATGAGGTGGGGCAGCAAGCACGGCAATGATGAGGACGGCAAGAGCGACGTCGGCGAAGACGATCATCCCACAGACCTTTTCTGGGATACGTTTTCGCCGGAACCTCCATTGGAATCCAGTCGCGGTGACGAGAAGCCTCCCAGAGGCCGAAATAGAGCGAAAACCAGAACTGGGCAAAATTGCGGGAACACGTCCAGCGCGATAGGTTCGGCAACGACGACGACGACGACGACGACGACGACGACGATAGCCACGACGACGACGACGACGACGACGACGATAGCCACGACGACGACGACGACGACGACGACGACGACGACGACGACGACGACGACGACGACGACGACGACGACGACGGCTACGACGACGACGAAGGTGGCAGCGACGACGACGACGACGACGACGTCGACGACGACGGCCAGCGGCGGCGCAGGACACGTGGCCGAGCGTGCAGCCGCTGCCCGGGCAGGCGCGCTGCGCACCCCGAGGGGTCGGCCAGTTCGGCGTGCTCGTCGCTGTCGCCGCCGCCGCAGCCGTCGTTCGTCGGCAGCGTCGATCGGCCAGACGTATCGACGTCGTGGTTATCGACGTCGTCGTGGTTGTCGTGGTTGTTGTCGTCGTCGTGGTCGCTATCGTCGTCGTCGTTGTCGTCGGCGTCGGCGTCGTCGTCGTCGTCGCCGCCGTCGTCGTCGTCCATCGTCGTCCATCTTCGTCGTCATTATCGCTAGACGTATCTCAGAGGGCGAATTACCTACCCCGCTTTCGCTTCCAGGCACAACCAAATCATACCACGCGCCCCCTCGTCTAGCAGGCTGACCGCTGCGGGCCACCCCAGGGGTAGCTTGGTAGCGTTTGGATCCCGTTTGGAAGCGAGGGTGGGCAAAAGCGAGGAAGTTTCGTTTACCTCCTAGTATCGGCCACGCGCAGAGGGAGGTAGGGGAGGCTTCTTAGAAGCACCCTACTTCTCAGAGGGCGCGGGATTCGTCTGAAGATGTGAGGCCGACGCTGAGAGGCAGCCCTCCTCCCAAAAAGCCTTCCCCCCTCCCCCAGACCCCCCCCCTGTGCGCGCCGCCAGGCGCAAGAGTGCCTGTCGCCGGAGTGACCTCCGGTGCGGGCCGCAGGGGGGCCCCCGATCGCGGCATGGGACTTGGTAGCAGCGGCCTGAGCGCCTGGTGGTGTCCCAAGGGGCCCCCGCTGAGGCCGCGCACCGAAGGGCACTCTTGGCCGGGCCGCTCTTGCGTGCGGCCGGGTCGAGGCTCGAGCCCGGACCGCCGTTGCTGAAACACAAAAAGAAACACGGAAGGGCTGTCCTTCTTTTCGGGCTGAAGGGGGGCCCTCACGGGGCCTCGGGGCCGTCAAGAAACGGGTCGGGAGGAAAAGCCCGAGGTGGTCCAGACCTTCGGGGGCCCACGTTGTGAAAAAGAACACGACGTCGGGGGTCCGGGAGGATCGAGGTTCGAGGTCGTCGTCGTCGTCGTCTTCGTCATTGTTGTTCGTCGTTCGTCGGCATCTTTGCATGCCGCCGCTGCTGGATCGAAGGCCTTCGGATCGAAGGTCGAGGGCCTTCGGATCGAAGTTCGGCGTATCCTCGGTTTCGGCCGCTGGGGGCCGTCGCAAATCGACCCAGAATGAAAGACCAGCCAGGAGGGACCTCAGGTGGGATCTGGAGACCGCTCGTCGTCGTCGGCGCGGCCGCCGCCGTCGTTGGCGTCGTCGTCATCGAGGATCGAGGTCCGAGGTCGTCGTCGGGGTCGGCGTGACTTTGACAGATGTCGGGGTCCGCCGCCGTCGTTCTCGGCGTCGCCGTCGTCGTTCGAGGTTCGAGGATGGAAACGTTCAGCTGTTTTGTCACATTGCTTTATTTGTTCAAGAGGCTTACACCATTCCGCCGATCCCCAGAAGAGGGATGAAGTCAACGGCGGGTGAGGTCTTTGGGGGTCTCTTGGGGACCCTCTGAGGGCCTCTTCGTGCCTCTTGCAAGTTTATTGGGCGCGGGGGTCCTCTTGGAGCGGAGTGCTTGGAATGTCAGTTCGAGTTGCCTCTCTCGGGCCCCCCTTCGGGCGGGCCCTGTTGGGGCTCTCTTGGGCGCCTCTTGGGCGCCTCTTGGGCCGTCGTGGGACCCACTCAGGCCGTCTTGGGGACCTCCTGGGAGCTTCTTGGGCCGTCTTGGAGCGGTCATGGGGGCCTCCTGAGCCGTCTTGGACGTTGTTGAGGCATCTTGGAGATTACAGAGTGTAGAAATGGAGGCTCCGGAGGCCCCTGGGGAGCGTTGATGAGCTCGGAGGAGACCCACCACCCCCGCCCCGCCTCGCCCCAGGGCCTCAGACGGTTGTATTTTCAAGCAGTTGGCGTCGAATTCGATTGCGAATGGTTGATGCACGAAGCAATCGACCAGTGTTCGCGCGAGAGTTGCGCAGCAGATGCATTTTACATTGTCGTCGTCATTTCTCGCTGCGGGAGCTTTTCTTGTTGTACAAGAGGCACGTTCTTTCCCCCGGGCCCCCCCCTCTTATCGGATTTCAGGTCCCAGGGGAAGGGGGGAAGGGGGGAGGGCGGAATGGGGAGGGGAGGGAAACGGGGAGAGGGGAAGGGGGACGGAGGGGGTGGGGGAGGGAAGGGAAGGGGAAGGAAGGGGAAGGGAAGGGAAGGGGGGAAGGGAAGGGGAAGGGAGGGGGGGGGGGGAGGGGGAAGGGGGAGGGGGGAGGGGGAGGGGAAGGGGGAAAAGGAGAGGGGGGGAGGGCAAGCTAGGTGCGCTAGCATCACATCTGACGTCCTACCCATCCCTCCCATCCCTTGCCATGGCATACGTCTTCTATCGATTCGCACAGTCGGATGTCGAGTAGGGCAATGATCCCAAGAGGGCACGCGATGGATGGACAAGCATTGCGTAGAAGAGCACGGCAGACCATAGCATGGTATAGCATGGCGTGGCATTGCGTAGTGAAGCTTTGCATCACAAAGCATAGCAACGCAAAGCATGGCATCGCACAGCGGTGCACAACACATCATCGCATTTCATGCCGTGGTATCGACCTGATGATTTGGAGGGCAATTGGCCCGTCGACGAGAGGACAGGGCCTGTCCGGAATGCCGGCTCCATGTCCTCCGGAACCGTGCCTGCCCGATGTAGGCGTTTTCGAATGCCAAGTGCGGTCCAGAGGCGCGAGATCGAGGCCAGCGCTGCAGTGGGAGCTACATTTTGAATGACCGAAGCGCAGAAATGAGAGCGACGCTGCAACGGGAGCACCGTTTTTGGAAGAACCAGAAACGACCAGATTGAAAAACCACCCGACAAGCAAAATACAAATAACGAAATCTTATGTAAAAACACCATACGCGGAGAGGACGGGAGACTTTCCGGACAGAGTCAGAGGAGAGAGGAGAGTAGTATTCATATTGTGTAAGTGTAGGAGGGGAGGGGGGAGGGGGGAGAGGCACAGCCACTTCTCCTCCCTCCCTCGCTTCATTCCTCCTCCCTCCCCCTCTCGCCTCCCCTCCTCCTCCCCCTTCCCCCTCCTCCTCCGCCCGCATCATTCCTCCTCCTCCTCGTCCTCCTCCTCTGGCCGCATCATCATCATCATCATCATCATCATCATCATCATCATCATCATCATCCTCATCAGCAGCAGCAGCAGCAGCAGTATCGTCATCATCAGCAGCATCATCACCACCATCATCAGCAGCAGCATCATCAGCAGCATCAGCATCGTCATCATCATCAGCAGCAGCAACATCCTTGTCATCATCAACATCAGCATCAGCATCATCATCACAATCGTCATCTGCATCATCGACATCATCATCATCATCAGCATCATCATCATCATCATCATCATCATCAGCAGCAGCAGCATCCTTGTCATCATCAGCATCAACATCATCAGCAGAAGCAACAGCAGCAGCATCAGCATCATCACCAGAATCATCAGTATCATCATCAGCAGCAGCAGCACCAGCATCATCATCAGCATCGTCATCAGTATCACTATCATCGCCATCCTCACCATCAGCGACAACATCATCTCCAGCAGCAGTAGCATCCTCAAATTCAACCTCATCATCATCCTCATCCTCCTCATCCTCCTCATCCTCATCATCACCATCATCATCATCCTCGTCATCCGTCCTCCACCTCGCCATCCTCACCATCACTCAGCCCCCCTCCTCCCCTGTCCGCCTGCTCATCCTCATCACTCCTCATCCTCATCTCCCTCCTCATCTCATCATCCCTAACCCCTCAACCGTCCTCCACGTGCTCCTCCTCCCCTTCCTCCTCCTCATCCTCCTCCTCCTCCGTTTCCTCCTCCTCCTCCTCCTCCGCCTCCTCCTCTTCCTCCTCATTCTCATCCCGCCTCCTCATCCTCCTCCCTCCCTCCCTCCTGCTCCCTCCTTCCACGTCATACGGACATTAAGCAGCCATGCTTGTTGCGCCTGCTACCGCACTACAGTGATCGCTCCGTCCTCCCCATCCTACTAACCAGTACTGATCATCCTCCTCTCTCCTCCTCCTCCTCCCTCTCCTCCTCCCCCCCTCCTGCTCCTCCTCTCCTCTCCTCCTCCTCCTCCTCCTCCTCCTCCTCCTCCTCCTCCTCCTCCTCCTCCTCTCCTCCTCCTCCTCCTCCTCTCCTCCTCTCCTCCCTCCTCCTCCTCCTCCTCCTCCTCCTCCTCCTCCTCCTCCTCCTCCTCCTCCTCCTCTTCTCCTCCTCTTCCCACTCCTCACTGATCCTCAATGTCCAATCCTCTTCCTCATCTTCCTCCTCTCTCATCCTCGAATCTCATCGTCATCCTTCTTCCCTCCCTCCTCCCTCCCTTCCTCCTCCCTTCCTCATCCTTCCCCTCCTCGTCCTCCTCCTCCTCCTCCTTTCCCTCCTCCTCATCATCATCAGAATCATCTGTACTGATCCTCCCTCCTTCACTCTGGCCCTCCGCCCTGAGGTGTTCTTGGACCGCTACGGCGCCAAGCCGGGCTGCTTAGTGGCTCACCAGCGTTCGCTGAATGTTGTTCTGTTGTGCCCAGCCTCCCTCGAGACGTGTCATGCACTCCTTTCACGTGCGCTCCGGGTACACTTGTGTAGGCCACCATCGGCACGTGGAGGGTCACGCGGTGCTCCAGGAAAGTCGAGGGGGAATGGGAACGGCATTGGGTACTCTTCCCTGCTGTCGTTGAGAATACTCCCAGGAGGGCTGTCCAGCAGAAGTCCAGCGTTGTCCAGGGATCGTCCTGCATTCTTGATCATGATCCGAGTGAGGCGCCAAGGGCCTCACAGAGTCCTTTGGTGCACGACTGAAGTGGGGTTCGTCGGTAAGGTGCGGATTGTCGTTCTTGTGTCGCCGTCGTCGCCACGCGACCCGCACCGCGACACACACGCGGCCCGCCTTGCGGCCGTCCCTGCGGCCCACACGGCCCACCCCGCGACCCACCCGCGACCTAGTTTTCGACCCGCCGCGCGACCCATTCGCGCTCCGTCCGGCGACGCCGACGACCCACCCGCGGCCCACCCACACCGCTACCCAGACAGTGCTCGCACGAATGGCTTCTCAGTTTCCTTGCCAGAAATCGCTTGGCGCGGCCGGGCTTGAAGCCCGCAGGCACCCTCGGGCGATTCGTGGGCCCCTCGTGCGATGGCTCGCGAGGCCAGGCGTTCGGCCGAAGGGCGCTCTCGTGGGTGCCTCGTGGGCGCCTCCTGTGCGCTGGCTGGCGCGGCCGGGTTTTCCAGAGGTGGTCTCTCGTGGGTGCTTGGTGGACGCCACCTCGTGGGCACCTCGGTGCGCTGGCTGGCACGGCCCTGCACCACGAAGGCTGCACCACCTAGGTTGCACCACGACGATTGCGCCGTTCCGATTGCATCACATAGATTGCATCGCACAGACATGGCCATAAACATCTATACACACACACACACACACACACGCACTAACGCCAACTGCACCTTGTATATTGCACCATCTGAATGTTACCATGCATGGGGCACCCTTTTGCTTGTTCATTCCCCGAGCAGTGCTTGCACTTAGGGGGTCTTACTTCGCTCCTAATCAACTGGGCCCGTCTGCTGGTTTGGCGGCCCCGTTCCCGTCCGCCGCCTGAATGTTCCAAATGAAAGGCTCGAATGGCCTGGCGGCCCCATTCCCGTCAATCGCCGACGACCCGTTGCAGCCCCTTCTTCTCCCGTCGCACCCCTCCCCCCGTTCGCATCGCAAGCATCGCATCGTTTTGCATCGCCTGGCATCGCATTACATTGATTTGCACTGTTTTGCATTACTTTGCGTTGCTTTGTATTTTTTGTTTTTTCTATAAAAAAAGACTCGGCCACCCTCCCCCCCCAGACTTATCGGTTCCGCCTGGGACCTCGCAAATTACATACAGTCGAGCATCGGAGGTGCGGGAGCGAGATCGCAGTGAAACGGAGAGACCTCCACGGGGAAATCGGTTCCGGCTCCGTGTTCGCGTCGTGCGTGCGGGCAAAGCGAAGCTGCGTGGGCGGGCGAGAGACATGAACATTCCTCTGAACAGGGCGCCGCCGGGCCAAAAGACCGCCCCCGCAGGTTGTCCAGCTGTGGCTGGGGGTGTACCGCGGGTGTCCCGCCGGTGGCCTGTCGGTGTCCCATCGGTGTCCCGTTGGTGCCCCGTCGGTGCCCCGTAGTGAGATCGATCGTGAGATCGATCGTGAGATCGATAGTGGGATCGATGGTGAGATTGATAGTGAGATCGATGGTGAGATCGACTGTGAGATCGATAGTGAGGTCGGTAGTGTCATCGGTAGTGAGATCGGTCGTAAGATCGGTAGTGAGATCGATAGTGAGATTGACAGTGAGATCAATCATGTGAGATTCATAGTGAGATCGGTAGTGAGATCGGTAGTGGGATCGATAGCGAGATCGATATTGAGATCGATGGTGAGATCGATAGTGAGATCGGTAAGGACATCGATAGTATGATCGATAGTGAGATCGATAGTGGGATCGATGGTGAGATCCATAGTGAGATCGATAGTGAGATCGATAGTGAGATCGTCAGTAAGAGTGATATTGAGATCGTTGTTGACATCGATAGTGCGATCGATAGTGAGATCGACAGTGAGATCGCTTGGTTCGGACGTTGGTTCCTCCCACCCCGAACCTCCTTTTCACCCGAAGGGTGGTCGTGCGGGTATTGCTGTGGAGCCTCCTCCTGGAAATTTGGGCCACTATGCCTGGACCACTTTGCAGGAAAATCCCCCCGATTCTTAAGCCCGTGCACTCTTGCAGTATTAACCACAAAAGTCGGCCCAGATTTGTTTTCAGAACTGTCCATGACTTTGGCCCAGGTTTCTTCAATCAGAACTTGATGAATCATAGGTTCGCTTGTCAGCTTCTGCCTCATCGTTCACCTTGTATAGGGATTCAAACAATCCCAGGCAGTCCCCGTATCGTCCCCTCGTCCCTGTCAAAAAGTACGATGCGCGCGCACACACATTTTGATTGCAAAGATAATGTTTCAATAACACCTTGCATAAAACACAACAAGGCCCACGCGTGCACACATGTCGAAACCATGCCAAGCACACACCAGTTGCGCAAGGATTATCACATGAAAATAGGTGTTGCATCGCAAAGCTCGCAAATGGTCTGCCCGCGCGCTCTTGCTGAAAGCATGGGAAAACAACATGGGTTTAGCAACTCCGCCCAGAACCCGCGTTCCCATCTCACCACACAGGGCATCTGCGTTGACCCAGCACGCGCGCAGCGCGCGAGAGTCCCAACCAAACAACGCCGTGCGGGCCACGCGCGCGCGCCGCCGCGCGCGTGTGCCGAACTCCTTCCGCAGCTATAGGTGTTCGAATCGTTTCCAAGCAGAGCTCTCAAAAAACGTACGAAACCCCAATGTTTGTCAACCGAAAGTTTGCCCGACATCTTGGGTTTCCGTGTGCGAGCACTTCCTCGCCATCACCCTTACCAGCGCCGCCGCATCACGTCACCGTCATCGACAATCGCCGCCATCAAGCACCTTCGCCGCCGAGACATGCACATGATCATCGTCATCGTCGTCACCAGCAACGGCGTCTTCATTGGCCTTGCCGTCGTCATCGTCATCATCGCCACCACCATCGCAATTATCATCTTTGCCGCCGTGGTCGACGTCATCACAGTACCGCGCCCGCCCGAGTCACCGTCCCGGCCTTTGAGACGCGCTAAGAAGTTGCCAACGGTACGTGACATCGCGGCCGCATCAGTTGTGCCAAACCAGCTGGCCGCTCTGCGCGCGAGTTTGCGCGCGCCAACGCGGCAGCAGAGATGCGCCAGCTAGGGCCAAGCAGTTATCTCAATCGCCGCCGCATGGGTTGGGCCGAAGAAGGTGTGGATGGGAGGATGGCATGATTGGCCGAGCAGTGGAGTTGTCGACGTCACGGTCTGCAAGGCGGAGTATTCCACATAGATTGCACAACAGAGATTGCACTACAAGTTGGCACCGAATGTGTTGTACCATGTCGAATTCACATAGATGGCATCATGTTCAGGTTGCACCACAGATGCTGCGTTATGTAGCACCCACAATACATCCTACAACGCTAGGATTGCACTTCATGTGTTACACCGCATACGCTGTATCACACATATTGTACCACGCACAGATTGCACCACATTGATCGCGCGTCGAAAATTCAAGAGCCAATTGTCTTCTGGTTGGGGTCCGCCCATGTTCACCCTCGGGGGAGCATATCGACGCCAGCGGTAAGCTGTGTCGAATTGGCTCCGCAGTATAGAACATCATTGTTCGCTCCCGTCCGCGCCACTCGCTGATGACCCACCCGCGACCCAGACAGTGACATTGATTTGAATCATCGGCGTCGGCGGCGGGTTGTTGTGCATTGATTTTGAACACCATTGTTCGTACACACCCGCGCGATCCGCCGACAACCCACCAGCGACTGATCCACACTGTTTTGAAAAGCAACTTGCGCCTGCGCTGCTTTTGGTGTACACCATTATGTGCCACCACCTGCGAGACCCACCCACGACCCCCGCCTTCTCAGTCTTCTCCGCAACTCCAGATGGGGCTGCATACGCGCTTCGCCCATGCGGTATAGCACCCCAGCTGGCCTGGTTCGCCCTCGGTCCATAAGTATGCCTCGTGGCGTGCCCAGGCTCTGGGAAGTCTCGACTCGCAACTCCCGAGGTGAAGCTCGAGCCCACGTCTGTGTTTGAGCCATACAGAGAGGAATGGGGGCGGAGTGGAGAGAAGAGGGAGGCGTGAGAGCCCCCCTGGCACGTGCAACTAACTCCTTCTGGCGGGAGGGCGAGGGGCACGAGATGGAAAGAAAGTTGAGAATAAGGAGGTAGGCAGGGCTGGCGCACTCCCATGGAGAAAAAAGTTGCTCAACGCGGGGATCCTTGAACGTGCAGCACCAATGTTCTGGCGCATGATGTTTTGAGTGGTTGGGCATCTGTGAGTCTGAGTGTGACCGAGTCTGAGTACGAGCGGCTGGATACAAGTGAGTCTGCGTATGAGCACCTGGATGTGAATGGGCCTGATTGGGAATGCGCATGAGTAGGTGTGGCTGAAAATTACCGCGTCTGGGCACGAGCGGGCTTGAAGGTGCATGGGTCGGAGTGTCGTACGCTTGGGTTTTCGTGAGGGGGCCCTGCTATTTGAGCGCCTTCAAAGTCTCCACAATCTATGCGCGAGCGGGCCCGTGTCACGACCTTTTATGGCGGCTGCCCACAGGGAGACCCACATGCGATGTTTGCCACATCGCTGCAACCACGGGGCTCTGAGAAGAGACCCGTCTTCTGGGCCACAAGCGCTTCATCAGAGACATCCCCGCAATCTGGGCGCGATCGAGTTTGTTAAACGCCCTTGGTCGACCCCCCTCTGGGTGGCTCCAACTCCATGCCTGCTGCGTCGCGGTGACCGTGGAGCCCTGACAAGTCTCATGTACGCTCAAAGCCATACAATTTTGCTTGAGACGTCCCAGCCGTGAAACACCCCTGGTCTGCACCACCTTCGGGTGGCCCAAACGCCATACTTGTCTCATCGTGACAGCAGTGGGGCTCTGAAAAGCGTCTACTTCCCAAAACGGGCGTTTCGCCTGAGGCATCCCTAGAATCTGGGCGCGAACGTGCCCGTGAGACACTTTTGGCCGACACCCTCTTGGGAGACCCAAACGCCACGCTTGCTTTCTACATCGCGGCGGCCATGGGGCCCTGAAAGGACACGCCGGCTTCGCCTGAGGCATCCCCCACAATTTGGGCGTGCACGGGCCCGTGAGACATTCCTGGTCGACACCATCTTGGAAGAACTGAATGCCACGCTTTCTATATTGCAGAGGCGATGGGGCTCTGATAAGACACACGTCTCCTTCCCAAAACGGGCGCTTCGCTTGAGACAACCCCCACAATTTGGGTGCGAACGGTCTTGTGGCACACTCCTGGTCGATCCTCTTTGGGTGGCTTAAACGCCATGCGTGCTGCATCGCTCGCGGCTGTCGTGGGGCCCTGACAGACACGCGACTCATTCACAAATTGGTTGCTTCGCATGAGACATCACCAAAATCTGGGCGCGAACGGGCCCGTGAAACACCCGAGGACGACGTCTCTTTGGTTACCCAAGCGATGTGCCTGCTACATCGCGGCGGCGACGGGGGAGCATGAAGAGGCACATGTCTCAACGCGGGGGGTGTTTCGCGTGAGACATTCCACAAGTTGGATCCGAAAGGGCTTGTGAAACACCCTGGGTCGGCACCGTCTTAGGAGGTCCAGGTGCAATGCCCGCGCATTGTGGTACTCATGGGGCCTTGAAAGGACACGAATATACTTCCAAAAACGGGCTATTCGCCCGAGACGACCCCCTAGTCTGGACGCGAACGGGCCCATGAAACATTCCTGGTCGACATCCTCTTGGGCAGCCCAGATGACGTACTTGCAACGTCGCGGTGCCCACTTACACGGGCACGCGATTGTTTCCCCAAATTGGAGTTTCGCGTGAGGTGTTCTGCCAATGTGTGTGCGAACGCGCCAGTGAACAACCCTTAGACACACACACACATATATATATACACACACACACAGACTGCAGTGGCGTTTCGCGCCATGCACCTTGGTCCTTGAAGTTTGGTATGCCCGCGAAATAGCAGGAAGGTCAAGCCGACAATTTAGCGATAACTCCTTGTTGCCTTTTCCGGCATCGCCGCTATAATAATGTTAGTCGTTATCTTTTCTCCATGCTTCTGTTCCTTATGTTCGCCATACCCTGCGCACACTCCCCATCCTCCTCAGCTCTTTTTTTGCGGAGGCTCCTCCTTGGAGAGCCTCTGGGGGCCTCACAAAAGTTGTTTCAGGCTTTCTTACGGCCTTATGGAGGCCTCCTGGGCGTATTCTGGGGGCCTCCGGGGGCTTCCTCGGGCCACCCTGCCTCCAACCGCGGTCTCCCTGAACGACCGGGTCACGATTCGGAATGCTTCGGAGGATGTCTTTGGGCCATTTTGGGCCGCCATGGGGCTCTCTGAGGGCCATCTTGGACCCGTGTTGTGCCGTTTTGGGGCTCTCTTGGGCTGCCTGGAAGCCCTTTCGGATGGTTGTGGGGCGATTTGGGAGCCCCCCAGGCGGCTTCGAACGCCGAGAAGACCGCCGTCTTGGAGCGTCGGGAAGCCGAATAGAGGAGAACCGCAGATTTCACCAAAAACCAACAGAAATCAATGATTTGTGCCTCGGGGGGCCTTCTTGGGAGTGCTCTTGGAGGCCTCCTTGGGGCCGTCGGGGCCATTGGGAGTGCTCTTGGAGGCCTCTTGGGCCATCTTGAGGTCACGTCGGCCACTCTTGGAGCGCTCTTGTGCTGTCTTGGGGGTCTCTGGGACGTCTCCGATGACCCCCCTGATCGCCCTAGGTGTGCTGGGAAGGCTTGGCAAAGCGCCATGTGAGGCCCGGGGGCCGCTTCGAGGCCCGTCTGGAGGGTCCGGGCTTGCAAAAATATAGGAAGAGGAATGTGTGTTGGCGTCGCGGCCCCGCGCGCGGCGACGGAGCGTAAAACACGCGCGCGCACACAGAGAGCGGCCCAGACGCCATGCTTGCTACATCTGGTGAGTCCCAGATTGTTTGGGCCTCAGTACGACCGAATCCGAGCGCGAGAGAGTTTGAGTATGACTTGGTTTGGTGTTACGTGCGTGGTTCGGAATAGACGTGCTGTGTATATCAGTGAGTCTGAGCATGGGAGGGCCGAATCGTGAGCAAGTGCGCGCGTGACCAAGTCTGCGAATGGTTGTGAGTGAATCTGATTGTGGGCACATATGGCAACAAGCGAGGCTGAGTATGAGTGGATCCGGATTTGGGTGGGTGTGTGAACTAGTTCTTTCCCGCGTGATCGGGTCTGAGCGCGAGTGAGCTTGAGTACGAACGGGCATGGGTGTAAATGGGTATGATTTTGCATTGCCTGAGTCTGATTGGGTTTGAGTGCCAGTGTGGGCATGAGTGCGTCTGGATTGGTGACCGAGCCTGAGCATGGGAGGGAGGAGACAGGTGTGAAGGAGGGAGGCGAGAGTGAGTGGGTGAGGAGGCGGAGGCATCACACGAACAGGAAGAACCATGTTCGTTGAGTATGCGGGACATGGGCCAAGACAACAATCGGACGCTGCGAAACGAGTAGTCGCAACGGGAGCCAAACGTAAGCGAGCCAATTCTCGCAAAAGCCGTTGGATTCGCATACACGCGCAAGCGCAACATTACGATGTGCAGGAAGTTGTCACAAATGGTGTTTGCAGTAGACCTTGCTAGGCAATCTGCGAGAAACGGCGAGACACTGGCCCGATAGCGCCATGCCAGGTCACGCACAAGAGCACGTTTAGTGCGGCCGCGCCCGAAAGCGTGCGCGGTATATGATCAGCAACGATCGTCCTGCGTTGCTCCACACACATTCGCCAAACCCACGCGCACACAGGCACACCCACACTCTCTCACACACATCCACACACACACAGACACACACATACACACAGCACACACACACACAGCACACAGCACACATACACACAGCACACACACACACACAGCACACAGCACACAGCACACAGCACACAGCACACAGCACACAGCACACAGCACACAGCACACAGCACACAGCACACACACACACACCACACACACACACACGCGCGCGCGCGCGCAAAGCAGCATACAGCACACACACACACACACACACACACACAACACACACAACACACACAACACACACACACACAAACACACACACACACACACACACACGAACACACACACGCACACACACTGCTACATGTGTGCATCTGGCGTGTGCCCACATTAAGGCACACAGTTGTCCAAGTACAAGAGTGGTATGGCCATTCGGCCGTGTGCGCCAGGTGGCCGCCTGATCTTCCAGGGATGCAGCTGGGCGGGGGGCAGCAGCCGGCCGAAGCAGCCGCACAACCCCCGAGGCCCGTTTCGGGCAGCTCGTCAGGGCCGAGGACGGCGCCCCTTGTCCCACGAGAGGTGTGCGGACAGGAGGGCAGACAGTGGAGGGACGGAGACGCCCAGGCAGATCGTCTTCGTCGCCATCCCCCCGCGCATGTCTCCCCCCTCTTCCTTTCCCGTCCCCCCGTCTGCATCCTCCCTGACATGCCCCTCGTCTTCCTCCTCTTCCTCCTTTCCCTCCTTCGCCTCCCCCTCCTCCACATGATCATCAGCAGCATCCTCATCATCAGCAGCAGCAGCAGCATCATCAGCATCTTCACCAGCATCCTCATCATCATCATCATCATCAGCATCATCATCATCATCATCATCATCAGCATCATCATCATCATCATCATCATCATCATCATCATCATCATCATCATCATTATCATCATCATCCTCAGCAGCAGCGGCAGCATCATCATCAACATCATGAACATCATCAGCATAATCTTCTTCTGCGGGGAGGGGGGATGTGAGGGTCACACGAGGGGGGCAGAAGTGCAAGGAGAGGGGGGGATGCGAGGGGGTGAGGAGGAGAGGGGAGGCAGGATGGATAGGGGGGGGAGGAGGGGAGGGAGGGGCGGGGACGGAGGAGTGGAGGGGAGGGAGAGCGTGGCCGCGCGATGCAGGGGCCCTGGACGCCCACTCCGAAGCCTCTCGAGCGGGGTGCGGCCAAGGAGAGTTTGCTCAGCATGATGGGCCGAGGAGGTAAGGATGCAAGGGCACACTTGGGAAGGCTTCCCATCCTTATTATGCGGGTTGACTGTAAGTGGGAGGAAAATGGGGATTGAAGGTGGGGTGGTGGTTTCCGCAGGGCGGCCTGCCTGCAAGCCTCCCCGGCGTTGCTGAGGACCTCAGGCCAGAACCACAGATGGATCCGACGCAGATATTCAGCCCCCGCTGCCGTGGCTTGGAACGAGCAAACTCCTGTCAGGTGCGCGGAAGGGGAGACGGGGAGAATCACATTCGCCCCCATTATCCCCTCTCCCGTCCTCCCCTTCCCCCGGGAGGACAGGACGAGTGGGCCCGCTCTTGCGCAACGCCCTTCCTGCGAAACCCTGCCTCGGGTCAACAGGGCCGATGACTCCACACTCCCCTCCCCTTCCTCCTCCCCCTCCGCACCCGCTCCCTCCTGACATACCCAGTCGAGGAGGAGGAGGAGGACGACGAGGACGACGAGAAGGGAGGGGGAGGGGGAGGAGGAGGAGGAGGAGGAGGAGGAGGAGGAGGAGGAGGAGGAGGAGGAGGAGGAGGAGGAGGAGAGGAGGGAGGAGGAGGAGAGGAGGAGGAGGAGGAGGAGGAGGAGGAGGAGGAGGAGGAGGAGGAGGAGGAGGAGGAGGGGAGGGGAGGAGGAGGAGGAGGAGGAGGAGGAGGAGGAGGAGGAGGAGGAGGAGGAGGAGGAGGAAGAGGAGGAGGAGGAGGAGGAGGAGAGAGAAGAAGAGGAGGAGGAGGAGGAGGAGGAAGGGGGGGAGGAGGAGGAGGAGGAGGAGGAGGAGGACGTTTGTTTGTGTTTTAGGGGGGAGGGGGCTGGCGGAGGCAAGGTTGGAGGAGGCGTAAGTGTCTGAGGGGGAGGATGGGAGTTGGCCCCGGCGGAGGGGGAGAGGACAAGTTAGGTGCGTTCGCGCCATATCTGACATCTGACCCCTCCCACCCATCCCTTGTTGTTGCGCTTTTTTTGTTTCATACGCGGACGCGTGTCATAGCGGACCTATAACTCAAACTTAAAACCAAGTTGCGTACAGAGGAGAAGGAGGAGGAGGAGGAGGAGGAGGAGGAGGAGGAGGAGGAGGAGTGGGTGGTGGCGGATGAGCAGGAGGATGAGCAGGAGGAAGAGGAGAAGGAGGAAGGAGGTCGAAGACGAACAGCGGCAGCAGGAACTGCAGTGGAAGGAGTGGAAGGCGCAGGTTGGCCAGGGGCAGGCGGAGGGAGGGAAAGGAGGGGGGGTCGACGGCGACGAGGGAGGACTCGGATCCTGAAATGGGACCCACGCTGCAGCGGGAACACCACTGTCGGAAGGACCGATGACACCCTTATTCTCGTTAAAGGCTCAACGACTTCTGCCGTCCTTCGACTCGCGCTAGAGCGGCCGCAATTTGCTCCAACTGTCCCTGAAGGTCTCTGGATGTACTTGGATTTACCCGGATTTTCCTGGATGTACCTCGATTTATCTGCATTAACCTGGATTTACCTGCATTGACCTTGATTTATCTGCCTCGATCCCCACAAGTCGATTGGCGAAAAGTCGTCAAGCCCTTGGGGGATGTTGGACAGGCAGTTCGAGAAACAAACATCTCGGGCCCACCGGGTGTAAAGCACGCTGCGCGGAGGAGGGGCGCCTGCGCGTGCCTCTCGGGGCACGACGCGCAGGGTGTGAAGAGAGCCGGCTCCCCCCGGGGGAGCGATAAAGACCTTCCTGTGGGAGCCCACGCCGGAGCAGACCACGGCATCGAGTCTCTGGGATGAAGTCGGGCCTGTCCCTGTGCAGGAGGGATGTTCAAAAATAGTAAACAAGTTGCCAGGGAACGATGTTTGGACTATCTTTGTGTATTTGTGAATATTTTGGGGGGTATCTTGTATGTTTCGTCCAAAATCCGCCTGTAGGGGGACACGCCCGACCTAACTCTGGGAGGAGAGGGAGGGAGGGGCGGTCTCGACCTCTCAACCTTGGGGCGCAGAGCACCGCTGGAGGCGGCTCCAGAGACCGCCTCGGACTATTCGGAGGGCCTGTTGAGGCCACAGCTGGAATTAGACTCAGCAGTGGTGGCAGGGATGCGCGACAAGGACGCAAGGGCCTTGGAAGGCCATGTCGACACTCTTTGCGCGGGGCGTGGCCAGCGGAAGTGGCCGAGGATGGGCCGACGGGAAAGGATGCAGAGGCAACCTTGACAAATCGCCAGTCCTTGCTATCAGTGTTGACTGTACCTGGGGGGGGAGAGAGGCCGAGACCTTCCCAGGAAGCCTCCCTCCTCGAGGGCCGGGGGGGGCAAGACCTGGCGCCCCCCCGCCCATGGAGGCCTCCCAAACGGGGTCGGAGCAAGTGGGCCCAGAGGATCGCGCCGCATCGCCGACGCATCGGCGACGCCGGCGTGGAGAGCATCGGGCCCCGCATCGAGCCGCATCGCCGATGCATCGGCGATGCGGCGCGACCCGCTCCCGAGCCCACCCTCTCCGAGCCCACCGGGGAGAGGCCCAGCTCAGAAGCCGGGCGAAGGCTGGCAAACCCGTGGTTGCTAAAACCGAGCTCTGGGAAATTGTTGTTTTTCTTCCGGGAAGCAGCCCTTGCATTAGTTCGTGCGCTGAGCGTTCTTCCGGGAATTTGCTTGCTCGCTTCCTGGAAGACCGCTCTAGCAGCCACACATTTGCCAGCCCTCGCCCAGCTTCCGACCAGCGCCCAGGAGAGTGCACCCAGACCACCTGCGGGAGCAGTCCCACGAGCCGCCGCTGCTCTCGCTCGTGTTCGTGCGCTGGACCGCCCGGGCGGCTTCGGGCGGCTGCGGGGAGGTGGCCGGGCGCGGAGGGCCCTGACCTCCCCGGGTGTTTCCCTGTCGTCTGCCTCTGGGGGCCTTCCCGGGGGCCCTGGGACCGTCAAGGAAACGGCTCAGGGTGAAAGACCGGTCCCGGGGAAGGGGTCCAGACCTCCTGGGGTCGACGTTGTGGATATATCTATATATATATATATATAGATAGAAGAAAAGAAATGAGTATGTGAATATATATATATATATACGAAAAAACAAAAGACAACAAAAAAACGACGTCGGGGGTCTGGGAGCACGGCACCCGCTGAAGAGTCTGCGGGAGCGCGCGCCCAGAAGGGGCACGCGGCCCGACAGCAGCCGGCGGGCGAAGAGCATGTCACGTGTCCGCGGCCTCGCGGTCTCGCCGCGGGCCGGGCCCCCGGGCCGCGGCCCCGAGGCTACGGGGCGTCGTTTCGCGGTGGCCCCGCCTGGAATATTCAAGCAGTGGCGAAGCGCCCCAGCTTGCCTATAGGCCTACCAAAGAATGTTCTGAGAACCTCTTGTGCTCTGCACGAGGGTTCTTAGAACACTTCTGGCCGAGACCGTCTTGTTGAAACACAGCGGGTTCACGTTCTAAGAACCTTGTTTTTGTTTTTAGAACATCTTTGGGGGTTCTAAGAACATGTCGTGGTAGGCCTATAGGAATGCCGGGACGGTCGGTCCCTGCTCAAAATATGTAGAACATCTCCGTGCGACAGCGTATCCGCGGGAGCGCGCCCCAGAGTCCTGACCGTGAGGGCGCGGACACGGCGATGTTCGCCTCCGACAGACACGATGCCCAACAGCAGGGTTTGTTCCTGTGGCGCTCTCCAGAAAGGGTTTCGGCTTCGAGGATCGCAGTAGTTGGCATCTCTTCCTCGGCGGAAGGGCGGCGGAAGCCAGCGGAAGTAAAAGCTGACGACGGCCAGTCGTGGCGCATAGCCCGCGGCAGGCTCCGGCGCGAGGAATAAGGAGGAGCAGGAAGGAGGAGGAGCAGGAACGAGGAGGAGCAGGAGGAGGAGGGGGAGAAAGAAAGAGGGAGACGAGGGAGACCGAGGAGGAGGAGGCGCGGGAGGCAGGAGGCAGGAGGAGGAGGCAGGAGACAGGAGGGAGGAGGGGACGAGTGGCCGGGCGGGCGGCATCGGCAGCGGCGGCTGGCGACAGCACGCAGTGCTGGCGGCAGCGGCCACGGCGGCACGGCAGCGGCGGCACAGGGGCGGTGGCGCGCGCGCCTGCGCGCGCACGGGCGTGCAGGAATGGCACCGCCCTGGGGGTGTCCACGGAGGGCGACGGCAGCTGGGGCAGGCCCGCGGCCGGGCGTTTCTCCTGCGCGCGCGTGCGCGCCGCGGGGGCGCGTCGCAGCATGGCTCGACCACGAGGACGGCGGCGGCGGCGGCGGCGGCGACGACGACGACGACGACGGCGACGACGACGACGACGACGACGACGACGACGACGGCGACGACGACGACGACGACGACGGCGACGACGACGACGACGACGACGACGGCGACGGCGACGACGACGACAACGACGACGACGACGACGACGACGACGGCGGCGGTAGCGACGGCGGCGTGGCAACGGCGACGACGAAGTCGAAGACGACGACGACGACGACGACGACGACGACGACGACCACGACGACGACGACGACGATGGCGATGACGACGACGACGACGACGACGACAACGACGACGGCGACGGAAGCGACGGCGGCGTGGCAACGGCGACGGCGGCGGCGACGGCGATGACGACGACGATGACGACGGCGAGGGCGATGTCCACAGCGACGACGACGGAGACAAAGACCAGGACAAGGGAAGAAGAAGGAGGAGGAGAAGGAGGAGGTGGATGAAGGTTTTTGTCCAATGCTCAATCCTCCTGTGTTGGGTTCTCGCTTTGGATCGAGCACTGCTTGCGCGACCTCTCCCGCCTCCCTTTTGCTCCCTGCCTCCCTCCTCTTGCCGCCTGCCTCCTCCTCCTGCGCTGCTGCCTGGGTGGCTGCGAACTGCGCAAGTGTCGCCACTCTCGTAGGCTTTTGGGAGGTGGGAGGTCCAGCGGAGTCGGGGGCCACGCGGACCCAGAGGGCAGCGCAAGCCAATTCCAGCACACGCCTACATCCAGAACTGCAACCTCTTCTACTACAGCTGAGTTGTTTTTCTTGTTTATCACCACCTCCACGAACAGAGGCGCATTCCCCACCTGCACCTTCTGAGGCCCCGTCCACGAACTCCCTAAGCTTACCTCCCTCCCCTCTTCTTCCTGGGGCACCCCTCCCCCGCGCTTTCCCCCCGCTAGCCTTCTCCACCTCACCCCCGCACGGCAGCGCGCCAGGGACGGGATGGCGGGATGCAGACGGGTCGGGGCGGAGGGAAGCGACGGGAGCCGCCACTCCCCGTCCTTGGGGAGCGACGGTCCCGTTCGGATCTCACCCACCTCCTCACCCCTGCCTTGGTCGCCACCTCTTGCACGTTGCCTCTCCCTCCTCCTCCACCGCACGCCCGACCGCCACCCTGCTCTGACCACAGCACCCCTCTGCCTCACCCGCTCCCCCCCCCCCAAAAAAAAAAACGCCTGCTCAGCTGCGGCTGCCGCGCCGCACTTCTCGGAGCACAGCACCCGAGGAGGAGGAGGAGGAGGAGGCGGAGGCGGAGGAGGACGAGGAGCCTCGGACGTCTGGCAGGATTGGCAGGAAGCGGCCCCCACTTCAGGAGAGGCGCGCCGAGGTGGGCCTCAGCTCCCCCCCGGGGGGGTGGGGCCCGCGCTCGGACCACCTTCGCACCCGCACCGCACCGGCGCATACAGGCGTCACCAGCCGCACCCCATTTCCCCTTAGTTCGAGCGTGTCCTCCTGCAGGCGGATTTCGGACGAAAAAATATTCAACCATATTTCCCTTAACAAAAACAGCAATACCTATATCTACATCCCCAGGACGAAAGCTTTTTCCTCTTGGGCCCGGAACGACGGTGTGAAGTCCTGAGAAGACCCGTATGAGATAACCGCCGTCGGATCCCATGAAGCTCGCGCGTATCCAAATGTGGCTTTGGTGTTGTTTCGGTGGATCCGGTTTCCGTCCGTACGGATCCGATTTCGGATTTGCTGGATCCGTGCCCGGTCTTATTTGTTACGGCGGATCCGATGTCTACCCTGTTTAAAATTTATAGTATTAAATTAATACAGGAGACTGGAAGAAATCGGATCCGCGGACCCCGCAAACCGCCCGTGTTAAGATTCTATGGGGAAACGGGGTTCGGTAACCAACTTTCCACGATGGGCCCTGCGTCGTCTCGCGCACTCCCATCAACTCCCCGCGCGAGCGGGCCCCGTTCAACATGAATACATACATCCCTGTCCCCCCGGTTGCTGCAAACAGCTCGTCCGGTCGCCGTCCGTTCGGCGGCGCCGACGTTGTCTCGCGAACTCCTCATGGCCATTTTCACCTCAAGAGGAAAATCTTTCGTCCTGCGTAAGTGCGTTTCGGCCCTGCGTCTCCTCACTCAACGGACTGCCTGTGAGATGTGGTGTGTCGGCTGTGTGGTTACCAACGACGGACTGCCTGTGAGAAGTGGTGTGTCGGCTAGATGGTAACCATCGAGTCCGAAGGCCAAAACGCCCATGCGTTTCGACCCTGCGTCTCCTCACCCAACGGACTGCCTATGAGATGTGGTGTGTCGGCTGTGTGGTTACCAACGACGGACTGCTTGTGAGAAGTGGTGTGTCGGCTAGATGGTAACCAACGAGTCCGAAGGCCAAAACGCCCATCCCCAGGACGAAAGTGTTTTCCTCTTGGGCCCGGAACGACGGCGTAAAGTCCTGAGCAGACCCGTATGAGATAACCGCCGTCGGATCCCATGAAATTCGCGCGGGATCACATGTAGTTTTGGGGTTGTTTCGGTGGACCCGATTTCCGTCCGTACGGATCCGATTTCGGATTCGCTGGATCCGTGCCCGGTCTTATTTGTCACGGCGGATCCGATGTCTACCCTGTTCTAAATCTACAGTATTACATTCACACAGGAGACTGGAAGAAATCGGATCCGCGGACCCCGCAAACCGCCCGTGTTAAGATTCTATGGGGGAGGGGGTTTCGGTAACCAATTTTCCACGATGGGTCCTGCGTCGTCTCGCGCACTCCCATCAACTCCCCGCGCGAGCGGGCCCCGTTCAACATGAATACATACATCCCTGTCCCCCCGGTTGTTGCAAACAGCTCGTCCGGTCGCCGTCCGTTCGGCGGCGCCGACGTTGTTTCGCGAACTCCTCATGGCCAGTTTCACCTCAAGAGGAAAATCTCTCGTCCTGCGTAAGTATATATACACGAAAATACGTAAATATATATTGTAGTATATAATCGTTATGCTACTGTGTGTGAGGTCTGTCTTGTCTTACCATATATATATATATATATATATATATATATATATATATATTCCTCATGTAGCGATTTAAACCTCTCCCCGTCGCTTCTTTGATTGTGATCATCTGTCTTTCCTGCTTCTCTCTCTTACCTGTTGGTTATGTTCCGCCCCTCCCCCCAGCGGTGATCGGAGGGGTGAGCCGAGGGCTTCGACCGCGTCGGTGACAGAGTCCGCAGCTTCGAGCTTCGAGGAGGAGGAGGAGGAGGAGGAGGAGGCGGAGGAGGAGGAGGAGGGGGAGAAGAAGGAGGAGGAGCAGGAGGAGGGAGGAGGAGAAAGAGAAAGATACAGAAAAAAGGACAGAGGAGGAGGAGCAGCAGGAGGAGGAGAAGTAGCAGGAGGAGGAGAAAGAGGAGGAGGAGCAGCAGGAGGAGGAGGAGCAGCAGGAGAAGGAGGAGCAGCAGGAAGAGGAGGAGAAGGAAAAGGAGGAGGAGGAGGAGAAGGAGGGAGGATGAGGAAGGGGAGAAGGAGGGGAAAAGGCCAAGCCAGGTACGCTCGCGTCATATCTGACGTCCGACCCCTCCCTCCCATCCCTTACCATGGCGTAGATCTCCTTTTAATTCGCACAGTCGGATGTCGCAGCATGGCATAGCATTTTGATGGCATAGCATAGTGTCGAAGATCAACGCGTAGCATGACATAGCATGGCGTGGCGACACCCCAAAGTGGGAGGGGGGCTCCTGCGGCCCAAAAAAACAACGAATCCGCACCGAATGTGTAATCATTTCCGATGTTTTTGTTTTCGGGGGGGGGCATCTTCTAGAGTTGGGGGCTTGTTTGTAAGGACCGAAAACCATGCCGTGGCATGGCACTGAAAATAATGACACCACCGCAGCAGCGGGAGCACAATTCGGAACGAGCGGAAGCGCGGAGATGAGGCCAGCGCTGCAGCGGGAGCACGATTCGGAACGAGCGGAAGCGCGGAAATGAGGCCAGCGTTGCAGCGGGAGCACGAGCGGAAGCGCGGAAATGAGGCCAGCGCTGCAGCGGAAGCACGATTCGGAACGAGCGGAAGCGCGGAAATGAGGCCAGCGTTGCAGCGGGAGCACGAGCGGAAGCGCGGAAATGAGGCCAGCGCTGCAGCGGAAGCACGATTCGGAACGAGCGGAAGCGCGAAAATGAGGCAAGCGCTTCAGCGGGAGCAACATTTTGAAAAACAACAAAAAAAAAAAAAAAAAAAAAAAAAAAAAAAAAAAAAAAAAAAAAAAAAAAAAACGAAAACCCAGAGCCCGGGAATCTTGTGTGCAAAACAGCAGTACGCGGATGGGGGCCGAATATCTTCGGGACGTCATCAGCGGAGAGAGGAAAGCAGTATTCATATTGTGTAATTGCAGAGGGAGACTGAGCGGGAGAGGGAAAAGACGGAGAAGGGAGAACGGAGGGAAGAGACATTGCCAGCCCGCGCGCCCGGCGCAGTTACGGCTCCCCGCCGAGCGACATGTATTTGTCGGCGCTCGTGGAGGAGTCGGCGACGAAATAGCGTGCAGAACGAAGCGCTTCACGATCCATCCTCACCCCTCCTACTTCCACCCTCCTCCTCTTCCTCCTCCTTCCTTCTTTCCATCCTTCCTTCCTCCCTCCCTCCATCCGTCCTGTTCTTCCTCATCATCATCACCATCATCATCAACATCATCATCAGCATCATCATCATCAGCATCATCGTCATCGTCATCATCGTCATCATCATCCTGCTCCTTCTTCCTTCCTCCCATCCCCTCCTCCTGCTCCTCCTTGCTTCCCCCTTCCTCCCACCTCTCTTCTTCGTTCTCCTCTTCCTCCTCCTCCTCCTCCTGCTCCTCCTCCTCCTCCTCCTCCCGCCCTCCCTCCCTCCCTCCTCCCTCCCTCCGTCCTCCCCTTCCCCTCCCCCCTCCTCCTCCTCCTCCTCCTCCTCCTCCTCCTCCTCCTCCTCCTCCTTCTCCTCCTCCGTCCTCCTCTCCTCTCCCAAGCCCAGCATGTTTCAAGACAAATTGCATGAAACTTAGCTTTCGGACGTCGGCGCGGAAGTCTCGGGTGCGCGCTGGGCCCCCGCCTTTCCCCTCGCGCACCCGGGGCTGCGCCGCCGCGAGCGCCGCCCCAGGCGCGCTCCCGGTGCCGTGCTGGGGAGGTGGTTCGGGCAGCGCCCAGGTGCGTCACCGCCGGCGGGGGTCCCCAGCTCCTCCTGGACAGCGAGGCTCCAGGATCGGAAGGAGGTTTCTGGGGCGCCTGGGCCCCTTGCTGGAGCAGTCTTACGGGGCCACTTCCTCCAGGAAGAGGGGCTGCCTGGAGGAAGTGGCGACCCCCCTGGTGGTGACCCCCTTGACATTGCCCCGCGCGCTGGGCGAGGGAGTGCGGGGGAGTGGGCTTCGTGGCTCTTGCCGGATGCAGTGAGCAGTGGGCGTTGCTGCAGGATTGGCCAGTTGAGCGCCTCGGCGGCCTGTGAGCGCGAAAAGTGCGCGGAGAAGCGCGGCCGTCGTCGTCGTCGTCGACGTCGTCGTCGTCGTCGTCGTCGTGACGGTGAGGCATGGGTGCGGCAAGTGTGTCTCAGACGCCCGCTCATGGCTGCGCACAGGCACCGTCGGCTGGGTCGGATAGAAATGGGGGGGAGGAGAGATGGGCACGAGTTTTGCTGCGTGCAGTTGCTTCCTTCTCCGCCGCCCGTCGCCCTCCTTGGCACGTTGGCGCTAGGAGGCATTGGGAGTCGGTGGGGGAATCAGCTCCTCATCCTCCTCCTCCTCCGCTTCCTCCTCCTCCTCCTCCTGCTCCTCCTACTCCTCCTCCTCCTCCTCCTCCTCCTCCTCCTCCTCCTCGCCTCCCTCCTCCTCCTCCTCCTCCCTCCTCCTCCCCTCTCCTCCTCCTCCTCCTCCTCCTCCTCCTCCTCCTCTTCCTCCTCCTCCTCCTCCTCCTCCTCCTCCTATTGCTACCTCCTCCTTCCTCCTCCTCCTCCTCCTCCTCCTCCTCTCGCCCCCTGCCCCTCCTCCTCTTCCTCCTCCTCCTCCTCCTCCTCCTCCTCCTCATTATCCTCCAGCCCTTTTGGCTCTGGCCATGTTGGCGGAGCTTATCGGCAGCGAACTTCAGAAGGGCGTTAGTGTCGCGAGTCAACAGTGACTCGGTGCTTGCCTGGCGCGCGCATGGCCCTTGCGCCCTGGCATTCTCGCGCTGCTCCAGTACGCCATGCGAAGTGGCGCTGCGGGGCGTGCGGTTGTGCGCGCAACATGGGCTGGATGTGGTATTGCAAGCACGTTAAAGCGAAGTGGGACGGCGCCACATGCTCGGTCATCTCGGGCGGTGCCGCAGGCGGTGCTGATGATGCTCGGCCTCCTGCTGCTGGGGCTCAACCTGGTGCTCAGCCCCCTCCTGGCCCCATGGGCGCTGGTGGTGGACAACGTGCTGGTGGCATCAACACGGAGGGCATCAGCGAGGAGGACCTGCAGCAGCTGGCCGCCATCGCCACTCGGCAGGGGCAGCCTGAGTTGGCGAAGCAGTACGAGACAGCCCGTGCCAAGCTGTTGCATCCTGCCAGAGCTCATCCAGAGGCTTCCCTGCACACTCGTGCCTCGCAAGCTCAGAGCAAGACCAGGCAGGTTGAGAAGAAGTTGAATAAGGAGATCTCGAAGTTGGAGCGCTGGCGTGAAGCCACTGCGTCGCTGGAGGCCGCCATCCAAGAGTTGTCTGACGAGCTGGACGGCTACGAGAAGCAGTACTCGGAGCTGGTCGAAAAGATCAGCGTGGAGGTGGCCCCCCCGCAGCCGCAGCCCAAGCGGGGTTCGGGCCCGACCATCAGTGTTCGCGACCTGGTGGGGGGGGAAGGAGCTCAGTTTCGAGCTCGACGACGACCTCTGCGCGGACCTGCCTGAAGTGGACGAGATGTCCGCTGAGGACAAAAAGCAGATGGAGGCCAGGAAGACGCAGTTGCGGGCTGGCTTCAAAGAGATGGCGAAGCAGCTCTTCGGCAACGCGTCGGCCCACTTCGAGACTGCGAGGAAGGAGCACCAGGAGCAGCTCAAGCGCATGGCCAAGAAGCGGAGCAGGATCTCGTCGGAGGGCGCGGCAGCTGTTGGTGAAGGGCCTGCAGCAGCAGAACCTGGACCAGGGAGCGAAGCCGCACCACCTGGAGGCGCTGGAAGTTCATCTTCTGAGGCTGGAGGTGGAGCCCCAGCTGCCGCTGCTGACAAGGCCTCGGGGCCTGCCGAGTCTGGCGCCTCTTGCCCCTCGAGGCCTTCTAGAGCTGACCCAGTGCTCCGAGCCAGGCTATCGCGGGCACCCCACAAGTCAGGCGCTTCCTGTCCCACCCCCGCCTCCGCGTGAGGGGGCGGGGGTAACTTCTGCGAGCAATGAGGGGCCGCCCCACATCCTGCTCCTCCTGCGGACCCCCCTCACTCCACCGCCCTCTGCTTCTGTAGGATTGGGAGCAGGCGGGATCCAAGTTTTGATGGAGATAACTTCAGCAAGAACTTTAGTAACTACTCCTGTCTCGGGCCCATGAGTTTCAGGCCCAGGTCCCAGGCCCGACGATGGCTCTCTCGAACTGGTGATAGCCACGGCCAACTGCAATAGCTGGGGCTCGATTCGTGATTGGTTGCCGTCGGCGGTGGCCCCGCGCATCATCCGCGTCCAGGAGCACCACCTAGCTGACGACCTGGACAGTATTGACCGCGCGTCGATGCATTGTTCGGATCATGGGTGGAAGAGCCTCTGGGAGCCCGCTGTTCGGACAGCCGAAGGGGGCACTCCTGGAGGAGTTGCTATCCTGGCTAGGGGGTTCTGGGGCCTCCAACAGCCTAGTCTGATCTATCAAGGCCGAGCTCCGGGTGCTGTCGCTCATCTGCTTGGGGGAGTTCCGTTCGGCGTGGTTTCGGTGCACGGCTACGTCTCTGAGGGCCTCACTGGAAGGCAGATGGAGCTCCATAAGTCAGTGGGCCCCCACTTGGTGCTCGAGGGCTTCTCCTACGTGGCGGGGGCGATTTCTAGATTGACCCCCCCTGTACTCCAAGACAGTGGCTTCTTGGAGCTCGCTCGCGGTGAGCTTGTTCCCACTGGCGCGCCGACCTGCTTTGGTGCGCGGCAGTCTGAGCACGATTGTTTCCTCGTCTCTGGGGGCTTGGCACGCGGAGTCAAGCGAGTTCAGCGATGTGAAAACAGTGAGTTTTCGCCGCGCTTCGCAGTGGAGCTGGCATTGCATCCTGCTCTTTTTCGCCCCCAAGCCCTGGGCTTCCGCAAGCCACCGCCCCTCCCAGTTGAGGCGCCGCCTGGCGTCGGATCGCCTCCCGGTGACTTCGGGGGGGCCCGCGTGTTCATGGAGTTGGGGGAGAAAGCTCCGAGGTCCCTGGATGCCAGGGGGGCCCGCAGGCTCATTTGCAGGTCCTACCAGATTTGGGCCAACGGTTCTGAGCAGGAGCTCGTTTCGAGGTTGGGGGAGGAGCTTCCGCGCCTAGGGACTCGAGGTCAGGACCCTCAGGTTGTCTGGAAGCCCATCCTTCAGAAGGACTCTAAAGCGCGCAGGTACCCAGAGCTTCGGGCCATGAGGTGGATAAGCGCTCGTTTTCGCGCTGCCGCTCAGCTTGCGCCGACTGTCTGGGCTGGCCACGCCTCCAGCGACACTCGGTGCACGGTTGGCGAGCTGGTCGACAGCTTGATCCAGTCTGAGCGGGCCCCTCGCCAGCTTGTGCATCCAGACAATGCTAGACCTCTTCAGGAGATCAGGGACTCGCTCAAGGACTGGGCTCGCTTCAATCCCCACCCCCACCTTGCGTCGAATATTTGGTTTCGGAATCCTTGGTCTCAGAGCGCATCGCCTCCCCCAGTGAGGAGGGAGGTGATCCTGTGCACGCTGCTGGCGGTCCCTCTCTGCGTGGCTTGGATGGCCCCTCTGACCTGTTAGCTGCCAAGCTCGATAGGCCGGGGGCCCTTCTCGCTCGCCAGAAAGAGGCGCTGGCTGCGCGCACCAAACACTACCAACGCGTGGCTGGGCAGGACTGGCACGCTTGGTTAACGGAGCAGCTCTGCCAGGGTGCTCGCCACGCTCACTGCGCCATCAAAGACCCTCTTTGTTGGTGCCCACGACCACCACCCTTTCGTCCGAGGGGCAGTTGGCGTCGGACCCCCAGCATCTGCTCGATGCCGAGGTCAAAACGTCTGGCAGGTCAGGGCCCCCCCCCCCCCCCCCCCAGAAAGATTTCAGGTGCAAGCAGTCTGCTGCCCATCCCCCCTGGATGTTGACCACCTTCGTAAGTTGAGCAGGAAGTACCCTGGGAGGAGCGCTGTTGCATATGACGGTTTTCACATGAAGCACTTCCAGCACCTCAGCGATGCCAGTTTGGAGATGATCTGCCTGCTCTTGTCTCTTGCCGGGCGTTCGGGCATCTTGCCGCCCCAGCTTCCGGCCGTCCTGGTGGCACTCCTGGCCAAGGAAAAAAGGGGGCTTTCGCCCCATCGTCATTTTCCCTTCGGTGCGCCGCCTCTGGGGGCGGGCCCGTGGGCCGTTAGCTGAGGCTTGGGAAGCTCGTTTTTCCAAGGATTACTTGGCCGCGGGCAAGCATCGCGGGGCTTTGGATTGCGCGTGGCGCCAAGCCTTCAGGTCGGAAACTGGGGTTAGGAGAGGTGCCTGCTCGGCCACTGCATTGCGGGACATGCACCTGCACTATGCGCCGATTGACTCGGAGGCCCTGGAGCTTCGGGGTCACAGGCACCAGTTACCCATGGGGGTCCTTCACCTGTGCTCGGCGGCCTACAAGTCGGCCCGTTCTGTCTGCCTCTCAGGGATCATTGCGGGCCCCTTGTGGGCCACGCGCGGCATTATTGCTGGGCGCAGCATGGCTACTACTTTGATCAGAGCACATGCTCGTGATGCCTTCGACGCGGTCCCTCGCTCGGTCAACTTTCACCGCATCGATCGGGAGTCTTCGGAGCTCTCGTCGTTCGACGCCTACATTTACGATGCCAGCATCTCGGCCATCGGCCCCCGTTCGCATGTCAGGTTTACGATCGCGAACATGGCTTCTCTGCTCCTGGCTGGTATTAGGCAGATGCTGGGAGGGCGCGTTGCCCTCGACAAAGTTGCGCTGGTGTGCTCTTGCGACTCTCAGGGCCAGCAGCTTGAGGCCGACCTGGGCCCGTCCGGAGTGCTGGACGCATGCGCCGTCAACCTCGGCTGCGACGACACGGCTGACAGGTGCTCTAGAACTGGGAGAGGAAGGATGAAGAAACGCAAGGAGAGGAAGGCCAGGATGATTCGCAACGTCAAACGGTTGAAGCGTTCGAGGCCCCACTTCGGGAGGAAAGCTTTCAGAGCGTTTACCTCGGGACCGATGCCTGGTTTCATCGTTGGCTGCGAAGTCCAGGGCCTGACTGACGGCGAGGTGCACAGTCTCAGGCGTGTCGCTGCAAGCGCTCTCAAGCCTGATGCTGCCCGTCGGTATTTAAGTGTGCTGTATCTTCTTGAGGGCGACCCAGTCTGGCACGGATCGGCAGCACCAGTGCTACGACATGTGAAGGAGCTGTGGCTTCTCAGGACCAATGCTTTTCCAGGGACTCTGGATTGGGCCACTATTCGTTCTTCTTGGGAATGGGTTTTTCCTAGTCGTCAGAAAGCAGTTACTGGGGGGGGCGTTTCAGGGCCCACGAGCGCCATGTTCATGAGTCTCAGACGGATTGGTTGGGACATGAAGAACATGGCTGTTTTCATTGACGACATGGGTCGCGAGCACTCGTGCACGCAGCTCCCGCCAGCCCTTTTCAAAGTGCTGTTACACCAAGCTGTGCTCCGCCAGCTCGAGAGAGCGGCGCGCGGCAAGCTGGCGGACGGCGACGTTTCTATGGCGTTGGCGCGCCTCTACCTGAGCCTGCCCAAGGCTCAGACGAGCCTGCCGCGGAGTTGGTCCCCGATCGGATCCCCTTCGACCTTGGCGGGTCGAATCGCCTTTGCTTCGACGTCGTCGTGGCTGGGCTCCGCTCGAAAAAACTCTCGACGTAGGAAAAGGGCTCGGCGCGAGCTCTTTCGTGCAATGCCTTGTGGACCAACTCTCGGGCGCTAAGGTATGGCTACCAAGTCAGCCCGCTGTGCCCGCTTTGCCAAGCTACGGTGGGATCTCTGTTTCATCGTTTATGGGAATGCACGGCATGTCAGGATGAACGGGTCGAGCTGGTTGGGATGGAGGTGATAACTTGGGCACGGGAAGCATGCGACAGTAATTCGGTTGACCTGGTCACCTTTCTGACTGGTGCCTTTGCTCATCCGGGAGACTACGCGCCGCCCCCTGTCAGACAGCAGGGCACGGATGGAGTTCAGGTTGAGTTCTTCGAGCAGGGTTTCCTGGATTCGGGGCTGGAGTTTCCCGGGCACGAGCAGGTTCGACTCGAAGGCAATGTTTTCATGGACGGCAGCTGTTTCCAATCCAAAATTCGGGAGCTGTCCAGAGCGGGCTGGGCCTTTGTTTCGACGTCTGAGCAAGGCCACATGCTGGCCGGAGTTTTTGGGCCCGCGTGGGCGCACTTGCCGCAGTCGCTCCAGGCAGGTGAGTTTTCCGCGTTGGCCGCCGCTGGCGTCAATTTGGATGGGCCGACGTCTCTTTTCTTTGATTGTGCGTTTGTCGTCTCGGTCTGCTCCAGCGACCCTCGGGGCCGCCTCGGGGGGCATCGGGCCCATGCGGGCTTGGTGCTGGACGCCTTCTCTGGGGCGGGGCCCTTTCTCCAGGGCCTGGTAAAAGTCGCCGCGCACAAGGAGTCAGACGAGGCTGGGATCTCTGTTCAGGAGGCTTGGCGTCGAGCTGGCAACTCTCAGGCCGACCGCGCTGCGAAGCAAGGCGCGGGAGCCCATCCCCAGGCCTCACCAGATGTGCTGTCTCGCGTTGAGCGCGAGATTCAAGCGTCTGAGGCCGCCATTTTGTTGGCGGCCAAAATTGTGCCTCGATGGCCGAGGCTAGATTTGTCAGGCGTTCAATTCATCAAGCCGCCCGGGGCCCCTCAGCCGTCACGGTCGCTTCACGAGCGGGCCTGGACTGGAGAATACTGGCAGTGCAGCACCTGTCTGCGGGGGAGGAGAGGACACATGCGCCCCGCCCCTGGCCGTTGCGTCGCGCCGCCCCGCCTATGTCCGAGCCTCTTGGAGCAGAACGGCCACCAGTGTGCGGTGGTCGACTGCTCAGATGGCTCCTTCCTCTGTATCTGCCGACGATGCGGCTTTTACAGTACTGGAGGCCGTGTCAAGAAGCTGGGTGAAGAATGCGCCAGAAAGAAGTCTGGTGCTGGAGCTACGGCTTGGAACTATTTTAGCCAGCGCCGACACCCACAGCATATCAAGAGGGAGAAGAACGTACAGTTTTTCCCTCTCCTTGGACTGTGCTGTGAGGAGAGGTGGTCTCCACTCGTTGGGGGTCAGGCAGAGGTCGAGCGTGAAAAAAAATCCTCCTCCTCCTCCTCCCTCCTCCTCCTCCTCCTCCTCTCCTCCTCCTCCTCCTCCTCCCTCGCCTCCTCCTCCCCTCCTCATCCACTTCCTCCTCCTCCTCCTCCTCCCCCCTCCCCTCCCCCTCCCCCTCCCTCCTCTCCCTCCTCCTCCTCCTCCTCCTCCCCTCCTCCTCCTCCTCCTCCTCCTCCTCCTCCTCCTCCTCCTCCTCCTCCTCCTCCTCCTCCTCCTCCTCCTCCTCCTCCTCTTCCTCCTCCCATCGGCGTTCCCTCGCCGTCGTCTCCTCAGCTAGCTGGCTGCGTGAACTACTCCGCCAGGATCACGAGCGTTGGCTTCGCGTGTCGCGCCGCCGGTTCTGGCACACCGCGCCTCGCCGCGACGCGCCATCAGCGCCCTGGCTCCCAGGCGTCCGCGTGCCGAGGTTCTTCGAGCCCCCCCGCCCTGCGCAGCGGAGCGGCGCGTGATCTGCTCGCAGGCCACAGCGCGTGGCCGGGGCGGCCGCCGCAGCAACGCGTTGAGCAGAAGTTCCCGACCGTGCCCGAGGAGGAGATGGAGGAGGAGGAGGAGGAGGAGGAGGAGGAGGAGGAGGAGGAGGAGGAGGAGAAGAAGCACGCGGAGCACGAGGACGAGGAGGAGGAGGACAACGAGGAGGAGGAGGAAGAAGAGGATGATCGTCCAAGCCGAAGTGGCTCAGGAGGCCAGACGGGCAGCCAGGCTCCCTCTCCGCCCTCCCAGACTCTTGCTCCTCGGCCGCCCCTGTTCTCTCGCCGCTTTGCACCGCACGCGCGCGCGGGAGCGCCGCGGCCCCCCCATGCCAAAAGAAGAGGCGACCGTGTCCGAAACGAGTCGTCCGCAAAAAGGAAAAATGTCCCGGACCTCCGATGTTTTCGTTTTTTGAACACGCGGTCCCCACAGCTCCTCCTCCTCCTCCTCCTCCTCCTCCTCCTCCTCCTCCTCCTCCTCCTCCTCCTCCCTCCTCCTCCTCCTCCTCCTCCTCCTCCTCCCTCCTCCTCTTCCTCCTCCTCCTCCTCCTCCCCCTCCTCCTCCTCTCCTCCTCCCTCATCATCATCCACTTCCTCCTGCTCCTCCTGCTCCCCCTCCTCCTCCTCCCCTCCTCCTCCTCCTCCTCCTCCTCCTCCTCCTCCTCCTCCTTCCTCTCCTCCTCCTGCTCCTCCTCGTCCTGCTCCTCCTCCTCCTCCTCCTCCTCGTCCTCCTCCTCCTCCTCCTCCATCCCTGTCTTCCTCGACCCTCGATCCTCCCCCTCCTCGGTCTTCGATCCCCCGCCTGCCAGAGGAGGGCGTGAAGTCTCACCCGCAGCTCGGCGGCGCGGCCGGCAGCTACGAGGCACCGCACCCGCCAGCCCCCCGTCGCCCCTTGCGAGCTCTCGCGGGGGGCCCTCGTCACGGCTCTCCACCCTAGGGGGACCAGGAGGAGGAGGAGGAAGAGGAGGAGGAGGAGGAGGAGGAGGAGGAGGGGAGCCAGACTGGATTCAGGCCTGGGCGATTTCGTGTTTCTTTCCAGCTTTGCCGCTGGAGACCTCTAGATGCCTCCACTTGAGGTCTCAGCTGCGCTCCAGCAGTCCTCAAGCAGGAGTCGCAGGAAAATCAAACAACTTTACTACAGTCAACCCGTCAACCCGCATAACAAGGACGAGCAGCTTTCCAAGATTACCCTTGCATCCTTCCCCCTCGGCCCATCCTTGGCCGCTTTTGCGGGCCGAGCCCCGCCCGCGAAGTGTCGACATGGCCTTCAAAGGACCTTGGATACTTATCGTGCATCCTGAGTATACGGGTTGGTGGTTAAAACAAATAGTCAGCCAGCGTGGGCCCCAAACAGTAGTTTCTATCATACTAGGCGATGCTATATACGTGGTGCAAGATATGTGGAGCAAGTTATGTGGTGCAAGCTATGTGGTACAAGCTATGTGGTGTAGGCTATGTGGTGCGATGTATGGAGCTACGAAATACAAATATGTGGTGCGACCTGTGTGATATAGGTGATGTAAAGTAATGTTATGTGATGCAATACATGTGGTGGTGCGATCTCTGTGGTGTAAGCTATGGCGTGCACTTCAGACGGTGTAAGTTATTGAGTGAAATCCGGGTGGTGTGAGCTTCGCGGCGCAATGCAAATCGACGAGGCGGCGACGAGCGGCGACGGGGCCGCGACGGACTGCGACGAGCGACGACGGGGCGACCACAAGCCGGCTGGGGCGACCATAAACACGCCAGGGCGACACACAGTAATTAGCGAATTGGCCGGCGGGCAAAGAGAGGGGGGGGGGGGGGGGACGGCCGAGAGGAAGAAGCGACGCTCAGACGCCGAAGAGTTCGACGATGAGCAGCCGGGGGGGGGGCAGCAGCAGCCAGGCGCGCAGGGCCAGAGCGCTTTGGGCGGCCGTGACGAACCGCGCTGGGGCGACACATCAGCCCAGTTCTGGTAAGAGAAGTCAGAAACCCGAAGTGCAAGCGCTGTCTGGGATAAGTACCATTTTTCAGGAGAACTTGCGGGAGCGGCTCGGTTCAGGAACATTCGTCCGAAAGGAAGGTTTCGGTTGTTTTATTGCTTTGCGATTTTTCCGCTGATTTCTCGCGTTCCAGCCTCCAGATGAGGAGTGCACCCTCAGGTCCAAACTTTGAGGGTCCTGGAGCCCGAGACGCCCGCCCGAGCCCCTCCGAAGGCTCTCTGGAGCGGTGGTGGGCCCGTCCCTGAACGCGGGAGCCCGGGCCCCCCTGGCCCTCCACGGTCTCACCGCCTTTCGCCGTCCTCTCCTCTCCCCGTTCTCCTCTCCTCTCTCCTCCCTCTTTGTGTACCTTCTCATCCTCCTCTCGTTTTGCATCGCCCTTTACAACATCCTCATCGTTTGTCGTTTTCTTCTTCATCATCACCACCATCATCATCATCATCATCATCATCATCATCATCATCATCATCATCATCATCATCATCATCATCATCATCATCATCCCTCACTGTCCTCCTCGCTTGTTGTTGCTGTTTCCTGATTGTCCTCATCCTCTGATCCTCCGTCGTCCCTCCATCCTCTCTCGAACACCTCATCCTGCCTCCTCGTTCTGCGCCGCCTGTTTTTGCATTCTCCGACTGGGGTAGCGAAGTCCCGCAAACGGTAGTGGGCAACAGCGTCATCACCATCGTCATCACCATCACCAGCAACAGAGCGAAGTCCATACTCATCATCACCATCGTCATCAGCAGAATCTGGAAACACATACTCAACATCACCATCATCATCGGTAGCATCTCGAATCACGTACTGTTCTTCAACGTCGTGTTAGTCCCTTCTAGTCCCAATTCGTTGTTCTCGTACATTTACATACCTGTCACTGGGTTTCGTTGTTTTTATATCTTTTGGTTCATTTTCATAGTTTTCGTTGGTTTTAACTCCCCTTTTAGTTCCCCTTCTTCATTTTGTCCCTTGTTACTCCCTCTTCGTAGTATAACCGCTTTAGTTTCCTTCAGTCCCTGGTAGTTCCTTTTCCTAGTTTTACTCCCTTTCAGTCCCTCTTCGCAGTCGGAGTTCCTTTTGGTCCCCATCCGTTGTTTTACCATCTTTGAAACTCCCGTGTCGTAGTTTTCGCGGCTTTTCCCCCCAACAGTGCCTGCATCCAGGGGTTATCACCTGTCTTCTGGGGCCACTGCGCTCCGGTGCCGGTCCGGCGGGCTCGTCGCCGCCCGCCGCCGCCCGCCGCCGCCGCCGTCGCCGCGGGTAGTCGACCGGGCCCTGGTGCGGGTGCGTCGCTGCCCGGTGGCCGCCGGTGGCCGCGCGCCCGCCGCCGTGGCCGCCAGAGAGCTCCGCAGTGGAGTCGCACTGCGCTGCGCGGTCTTGAGCTGCGCTGCACTCCCTTTGCACTGCGTCGCACGTTGCATCGATCTGCAGTTCTGAAGCGTGTTGCACTGCAGTCGCATCGGCATCGCATCGGCACTGCGCTGGATTGCTTGGCACTGTGTTAGACTGCTTTTGGCATTTCTCGACCTTGCTTGACATTGCGCGGTGTTGCGCTGCATTGCTTTGCGTTGCGTTGCTTTGCTTTGCATTGTATTGCGCATTTTGCGTTGCTTTGCATGTTGCAGTGTTTGGTATCGTTTTGTGTTGCTTCGCATTGTTTCGCATTGCAATCGCAGTACAATCGCTTCACTTTGCATTGCAATCGCATTTCAAACGCATTGCGTTGAATTGCTTTGCATTGCTGGGCATTGTTTTGAATTGCTGTGACTTCCTTTGCTTAGCCTTACATACTTTGTATTGATTGGCACGGCTTTGCACTACTTTGTAGTGGTTTCCATTGTTTTGCTCTGCATGGCGTTTCATTGCAATCACGTTGCTTTGTTTTGTTTTGCATTGGTTTGCATTGTGTTACATCGCTTCGCATTGTAATTCGCCTTGGCTTACACTGCATTGAATTACCTTCCATTATTTTGCCGTGCTTTGCACCAGATAGATTGCACGACCCAGATCGCAGCAAATTGATTGTACCACCTAGACTGCACCGCATAGGTTGCAGTGAGTCCTCGCTTGGGGTACACGCTGGCTGTCATGTTCCTTCGAGTCCCCTTTACGTCGAGTCCCTTCTCGTAGTTCTATTCACGTATGTATAATATGTTAGTACTTGTTCATTGTTGTAGCCCCTGGTAATATAGTTTCGTAAGCTTCGTTTCTTCAGTCCCTTTTAGCACCTGTTCGTCGTTGCAGCCCTTTCTGTATAAACCCTATTCGTAGTCTTAGTTGTGCACCCCGTTCAACTTCGAGGGTCCATCCTCGAAGTGCGAGGAGGAGGAGGAGGAGCGAGAAGGAGAAGCAAGAGGAGAGAGACAGATAATCCACTGAAGACCACACACGCGTACGCTTTTCGGTCGTCTCGCGGCCGGGCGTTCCGCCATGGCGTCCAGCGCACGCGCGGAGAACCGCGCGCGCACTCGCTAGTTGAGAAGAGGCAACGATTAGGTTGGGCATGTCGTCTTGCAGGTGGATTCTGGACGAAACATTAGAAATATTCCAAAAAAATATTCAAAATTGGCCACAATACAATATTCATAAAATCGTCCCCGTAATATTTTTTGACTATGTTTGAATATTCCTCCTGTAGAGGGACACGCCCGACTTGAGGCAAGGAAGACGGCGCCAGGGCAGCGAGGCAACCGGCAGGCGCCGGCGGGCGGCGGAGGTCGCAAGGCGAGCGGGCGGCGGCCGCACGGCGGGGCGCCGGGGCGGGGCGGGGCAGCAGGGCGCTTCCTCCTCCTCCTCCTCCTCCTCCTCCTCCTCCTCCTCCTCCTCCTCCTCCTCCTCCTCCTCCTCCTCCTCCTCCTCCTTTTCTTCCTCCTCCTCCTCTTCCTCCTACGCCTCCTAGGAGCCGTTGTGGCTCTCAACACAGCAGGAGCTCGCACCACACCTGCCACACCGTACAACCCATGGGTGAAGGTAAATCCCATGCGGGGCGGTAGGCCTAGGCCGGCCTGCTTTACCTACCTCCCCTTGCCTCCACTTGCAGGAATCTTGTTGATGGTACGACGAGCTGTCGCCCACAATGTGGAGTGGGCAGATTACACGCGATTGGAAGAGATATCGACCCTCACCCCGACCACTGATATTTTGCTGCTGAACGGGACGGGGCGCGCAGCCATGAAGGACGAGGATATGGTACAGACGAACCTGCCCAACCACACATGCGTCCAGTTTGGCTTTCGCAGCTCCCGTTGGGCAAATCGATCATGTGGTCTTGCAGTGCTGTGCAGCTCCACGCGCAGGGGCACCTTACAGCAGACGCTGTTCCCACCCAGGTCGCAGGGCATAGCAAGCTGTATCGCCATGGCAAAGTTTCGCATTGGTTCGACGACAGTGGCATTCTTTCCCAGCTATTTACCGCCAAAGGGTACCGCACCATCCATATTAAAAGAAACGGTTGACAAGTGCATGGCATGGTTCACAGCCACGTATGACAAGCTCGGGCAGCAGTGTGTGGTCATCATGGGCAGCGACCTCAATTGCTCTTTCGGCATACGGCGAGATACAACTGGCAGAAAATACGATCGAGCAGATGAGACGGTGGGATTGCAGAACCCAGGCATGGAGACAGCAGTTTCAACACGCATTCGAGACGCACTTGAAGAGAACAAATTCTCAGTGGGCAGCAGCTTCTGGAATACTTGACCAACATACTACAGCGGCACGTCGAGCAGCAAGATCGATCATTACATCGTGCCCACATCCTGCTTGCACAGGATCACCACGATGCGCCTGTTGAAGCAGCTCGGTCGTAGGCTACAGCGACGGGAAACCATACTACCGCAGGATCACGAGCCGCTGATGCTCGAGATCGACATCCACG